AATTAAAAACCATGTGATAGCCATCAAATCTGATGCTATTGGTAGTGATAATATAAGTAGAAAAATGATATTATTAAGTCTTAACACTGTTCTTCCTATACTGTGTCATATCTTTAATCATTCCCTTACTTCCAATGAATTCCCTGACGTCTGGCAACTTGCAATAGTGATCCCTATACTAAAAACATCCAATCCTACATCATTTTCACAGTACCGACCAATTTCCATACTTCCTTTCTTATCTAAAGTCCTTGAACGCATAGTCCATCAGCAACTATATCTACACTTAAATAATAATAACATCTTATCTCCTTTCCAGTCCGGCTTTCGACCTGGGCACAGCACTGTGACTGCACTTAATAAGGTCTGTGATGATATTCGACGCGGATTTGACAATCAGCAGATTACCATCCTGGCCCTGTTAGATTTCTCTAATGCATTTAACACAGTAGATTTTGACATCCTACTTGCCATTCTCAAGTCCATAAATATTTCCTCACACGCTACTGAATGGTTTTACTCCTACCTAAATAACCGCCAACAATACATTAGACTAGATGGCAAGCGGACTTCTTGCTCTCGTATTAATGCTGGAGTCCCTCAGGGCGGAGTTCTTTCTCCTCTACTCTTCTCCATTTTCATTAACACTCTCACTAAGCACCTCACTACGTCCTATCATCTTTATGCAGATGACTTGCAAATTTATGCGACTACAAATGTAAATGACATTGCTAAGGCTATTGGAAATATTAATTTCAACCTCGAAATTATGAGTACCTGGTCATTTGGTTTGTGTGTTAATCCGAGCAAGTCTCAAGTAGCAGTCTTTGGCAATTCTAAACAACTTTCTAAAATACATTTTCCTCTCCTCCCTCCCATTTCATTTGATAATGTCCATTTAGAATACAGCAGTAGTGTTAAAAATCTAGGGATCATAATGGACAGCACTTTATCCTGGACACCTCAAGTTGCCCAACTTAGCCGTAGGATATTTCTTGCTATTGGCACCTTGAGAAGATGGAAAAACCTATTGCCGGTCAAAACCAAAATATTATTAGCCAACTCCCTTTTATTGCCGATACTCGACTATCTATATTTATCTCAGCAATTACTCAATAAGCTTGAGCGTCTCCAGAATCTTATTATAAGATATATTTTTGGACTTAGGAAGTATGACCACATTACGCAATATCGGACACAGTTGAGATGGCTAACAGTTCACAATAGACGTAATTTACACGCGCTTTCTCTATTATACACAACCCTTTACCATCCTCACAATCCCACCAACCTCAAAGAACACTTTAAGTTCCTAGGGGCAAGTTCCCAGCTCGCTCTAGAGCTTCGCTCTCGCAGTGAAAGATTACTAGAAATCCCATTAGTCCATTCCAAATCCTATAGTGAATCTTTCACTATTAAGACGGTGAAGCTCTGGAACGAGCTTCCAAATGAAATAAGACAGTCCAAGTCAATAAGCATTTTTAAAAAGCGTCTCAAAACACATTATTTGTCGCTTTACAACTAAGCTGTCATTATAGTTGCATGTATTAAATTATTGTGTATATTATGTATGTTTATTATTATTTTATTATATTATTATGTATATGTTTGTTTAAGTATTTAAACAATAAATATCTATTGTATAAATAGTATTTTATATATGTATTTTTTTATGTATGTTTATAATATGTAATACGTCTATTGAGTACACTTTATGCACCTTTCCGCTTTCTGTTAACTTTTGTATCCTACTTCTAGCGGTTGCCTGTAAGAGATCACTTTTAGTGATAAGGCCGCCTTTGCACATTTCTTTAAATGTATTTTTTTTTGATGTATCATTTTTATTTTTGTGTGCAATAAAGTGTTTAAATAAATAAATAAATAAATAAATAATAAATTACAACATACTTGAAACTAGCTTTCGCCTGTGGCTCTGCATGCATATTGATTTCATCAAAAATCTCAAAATAATTGATTTAAAAATGTACAATATTTTAAAAAATCAGTCGTAGATTGGATGTCTACACTACGTTAGATTAAGCGCGGTGAAGCTATTACAAAAAAAATGAAATATCCAATCACTTAGTTCATTCCCTATTCATTATCCTGCAGAAATCTAACCTAAAAACTAACAAAATAATTAAATAGATAACTACGAACTTCAACTTTGTTCCTAAGAATTTATCATTAACAAACATTAGATGGGTGCATCCGATCTCTTAGTATAAAAGTAAACGCCAAGTCGAGGACAAATTATTCTGAGATAGCGTGTTTTATTAAATTTGATGCGCTGCACATGCTACTATAGTAATGTTTCCACATGTTATTTTAACTACCAAAACAAGCTGATACGAACGGAATAGCACAAAGGTTACTTTTTATCCGAAACCGAAAAATGTACGGTCCCCATGGGATACATTCACAAATTCGCAAATTTCACGAAATCTTTAGTCTAAATATTTATTTATTTTTCGGTATAAAATTATTACCCAAAGTTAAAACAATAATAATAAATTATTGCTAACTTTTTACATATATATTAAGAATTTGGTTTCATTGTAGTCAGACAAGAAAGTATTAGGTATATTACTTACATATGCCCGTTATATTCAAATTGTTAAGTCTAAGAAGGTATTATGTGAACTATAGAATTTCAAGGACTATTTTTAATTATGTTAAAATAAAACCCAATGCAATATAGGCACAAGTGAAAATTTATCAGAATTTAGTTACTTGGTAGCGACACTAAGCTTTGCCATAAATCAACGAGGTTTAGAAGTTTGAATTAATTAATTATAATACCGTCTAAATCAAAATTAGCAATTCCAAATTCCTAGTTTGATTCATTGACAGATTCGTTGGCAGCTTTATTATTACTAAACAAGCAAATATGTGGCACGTAATTAAGAAATATAAGAAACACTAAGTACATAAAAATATTAACTGAAAAGAAATCAACTTAAGTCAACAAACGACGACAACACCATATTTAAATATTATTTATAGTATAATTGCACTCTTACCATTATTATGTGTGAGACGTACCTACTCGCATAATTGTGAGAGTGCAATTATGTTATGAATAAGCTAACCTAAAATCTGTGAACAAACAAACAAAAAACAGTAGAGCATTCAATCTTAACTTACTTCAACACTTCAAGGAAGTTCTTACAAGGAAGAGTTCAAGTCGGAAAAGTTTTTTTCCAGTATGAAAATTAAATAATCATGAAAATATACAACAAAATAGGACAATCTATACTATAATAAAACAGTAGAGGTCGAATGTCTGTACATGGCAAAAAAATGCTAAAAACCGAGTCAGGGGGATGTAAGTAGACAAATAGAACAAATCCAGATTTTTTCATTTTTTTTGTTTCTCTGTCTGTTTGTACGGGCTAATCTCCGAATCTATTGGACCGATTTAAATGAGATTTTGCATAGTGGTACCTTATATCCCCGGGCAACATCTTACATAGTTTTTATTCCAGAAAATTAAAGAGTCCCGTGGGATAGTTAAATAACTATAGTATCTTATACAACTTAGTACACAACAACTTATGCACCTAATTTAGTAAAATTTAACATTCTGATACCTTATATTGCCGGTCAAACAACAGGTTACTTTTCATCCCGGAAAAATGAACGGTTCCCGTGGGAACTAATAGATCTCTATTAGTGTTTTTCTAGAGGCGAACCCGAGCGAAGCGAGGGTGAGCCTCTAGTATACAATAAAATAGGACAATATAGAATAAAACTAGTCAAACTAATTTGATATAATTAATTAGCAAAGTATAGAGCATCGTGACTGTCGTCAATTTTACATACTTGGTAATTTGTTTTCGCAAGATAAAGAGATAGCCTAGACTCAACTAATGCCAAATAAGATGTATCCCATTTAAAGCGAATGTGTCTTTACAACTTACAATAGCGTTTCGTGACTAGAGTAATAACGAACCATTTTCATTCGAGATCACGAAGTTCTAAAGATCGTTTTACATAGAACTTTAATTTAATACTAGCGGCTCACCCTCGCTTCGCTCGGGTTCGTCGCTAGGTACGTTTTAAATAGATATAAAAAGAAAAAATCTTTCTTTCTCACATTTTAATTATATGTTTTAATACTTACCTATTCCGGACTAAGAGAAATCCAAAAATTAAAATATCATAAAAATTGGAACGCGGTCGAACGGGATAAAAAGTATCCTATGTCCTTCTCCTGGCTCTAAACTACCTCCCTGCCAATTTTCAGCTAAATCGGTTCAGCCGTTCTTGAGTTATAAGCGAAGTAACTAACACGACTTTCTTTTATATATATAGATGAACATTTTGTCGTGTCAATCAGTTGCAAGGTAATTTTTTGTGTTTTTTCTTTACTATTATAGAATTTAGCTACTTATTGCTTTACTTTTATTCATAAGTAGCTTCTGCCTGCGCGTTAGCTAGAAACATAACTCGTTTCGTATCCGAAAAGTAGACGTGGAGGCTTGATGTATGTATATACATAAAAAACTAAAAACAGTGACTTCGACGATCACTCTATTGAGAGATAAAGAGGAGAAATGAACACTATTATACTTGTTTGTGTTCCTCATAATGCCCGTTCGTTTGATATTATATCACATGATGCATACTTTAAGAACTTCTATTATTTTAAAATTAACCTAGTAATGAAATATTATTTTGTATGCTTTTCGTTCATGATTGAGACACATAAAATAATACGTACTTTTTACCCCTTCACAGAAATCAGGCTGAATTTGTACACAGTGTATTTGTCGAAATAGACATACAGTGATCGTATACTGGAGCTTTCCCGTTTTTTAACGAAAAAAGACCTAAAACCTAATTGGAAGCTCTCAACTCATTAGGAGTAGTGACACAAATTCTGATAGTACTGATTTAGCTGCTAAATTTTACAATGGCTCCATTACAATTTTATTTTTTTAGTAGCAATTGTCATTCCCATAATATTTGACTTTGGTTGGTTAAATTAGGTTATTATGGTGTCCGATGTATGTTCATCTTGTCGTGGTTAGCCCTCCACTCTCCACTCGTTAGTGTCAGGCAATCCAGCCAGGCGTGAAGACAAGAGACACACTGGAAGGTAGCCCACTGCGGTGGGCAGTATAAAGTGAGGGTTGCTCCTGGTACTTCTCTGATAGCAGAGTGGACCTTGGAGCAACCCCATGGTCGTTATGGTCTACCTCTGCAGGCCAGCCGTCGGGGCGTCGTAGTTTAGTGCATAAGCCTTTTTTAATAAACGGACTATCTAATACAAAAAGAATTTTTCAAAACGGTTTAGCAGTTCCTAAGAATAGCACGTTCAAACAAACTCTGCCTCTTTATAATATTAGATTTAGTATATAATAATACAAACGTAATCTTTTATTTCTAGCTTTATATATTATAATTATTAGTATAACTACATGGATTTATATAACTTATTGTCAATCCTAATGATTATCCTTCGATAAATTAATAACGTATTATATATAAGAATAGATTCATTGTAGAAAATTACAGACTATGATTTTATAGTATATGTTATAATTAATAAAAGACTGTATTTAAAATAATATTAACAGAGGTTTTCCTCAACACTTAGATCGCGTCGCGACCTGTTATTTTTTTCATGCGATACTGTCAAGACCATTAGGTTAATACCCTAAGTACATATTTGCCAAAGTAGAGATAATATGCCATTAACATTACGGTCATTAAATTTAGGACTACAAAATTATCTTTGTATACATATTACTTCTTTATATTTATATATCAAATAATAAAAGATAATTTTTAATGTTAATATCACATAATCAAGCTTAGAAAATTAATTTGAAAATCTATACATATAATAAAATTGTAACTAAGCCGAATCTGTACATTAATTTTTTTTTGGAAAATCTTATTGAAATAAACATTATTATCGATACAGAGGCCGAACTTATAGATTTTAGAATTTTTGTCTGTCTGTCTGTCTGTCTGTTACCGCATCACGGAAAAACCACTGGAGGGATTTTGATGAAATTTGGCATGGTGATAGCTGGTTATCCGGGTCAATATATAGGATGCTTTTTACCGCGGTAAAATATCTCATTTCTGAAAAAAAATACAAAAACTGCAACGTAAGAGTATACTTATTAATTATGTAAAACCTAAGAATTTGGTTTTTGGTCATCTGAACGCGGGTGGAGCCGCGGGCAATGCTAGTAAAAGATATTTTTTAATGTTAATATCACATAATCAAGCTTAGAAAATTAATTTACCAATATAATATAAAGATCATTATATCATTTGAAGCGTTGATAGCTATTCGCTCTTACAATGCAATAATGATTCCAAAAAATAGTAGTTAATAAAATTAATTTGTTGCAGATAGGGCCAATACCAGACTCACGATGGCAATCTGGTGGGAAAAAAACTCAAGAGAACAACAACATTGCAATACACGTCACTCCACCAGATGGAGAAGAAGATGACGAATTCGTACCACAGTTGCGCATGCGCCGCAAATTTAGCACTCCCCTTAGTGCACTTTCTGGCTCAGTCGATGGATATATGGATCAAGGTAGGGCTTTTTAAAGATTTCCAGAGAAATATACTTTAAGTGATTACAAACTGTTGATTCTACTACCACGTGTACCATATTATTAAAAAAAGAGTTACTTATATGTACTTTTATTTATAATATTCTATGTGAAGTAGGACCTACTGTAGTTTATATAATTTAATAATATCATTTCTTGGGCAGATCTTCGTTGTTCACCATCGCGATGCTTATCCCCTTTGGATCGAACCAAACGTCGTTTCAGTACTATGGTATCAAGTGCTGCGGCCGCTGCAGTGTCCCGCCGCTTATCTGCCACCATCGGCTGGTGCTTGGCCACCCCTACCCACGTCAAGCCACAGATCGTCAGGCAGGGTCGTGCACTATGCTTACAATATATAAGAACACAAATACGACGGTCACCATCTTGTCCCAACAAGGTAACAGAAGTGTACAGAAGAGCTTTCTCAGCATTAAACAAACATCCAACATATTGTTTTATTTACACAAAACAACTCTCATTTGAAATTATAATTTCAGTGTAGTTATTTAGTACCCAACCTTATTCAGCAATTCAAAATAGTTCTAAAACTATTATTGACATAATATGTAAACTATTTTCTATTTTTTGTATACTTTTCTTTCTATTTAACTAAATTTATCAAATGTATCGTAGCAAATCGTATTGAAGCGTCTTCAAACAATGCTGGAAACGGAATGCGGTGAGGAAGCTGTCAATAATACAGAAACTGGTGTGCTTGCGGCTCTACGCGCTTTATGTGCTGCTTTAGAGAGAAAAAGACCAGATGCATTTAGACACGTGGCGAGGCAAGCTACTCGCGCCCCGTCGGCCATGTTGCGATCAGACTCTGCACTCGCCGAACTAACCCTTGCCCTCGCGCGCCGCATTACTAGGGAAAATATTACGTGGTCCAAGGTATGTACGTAGCAACCATATTTATTGTGTGCATCTACGATAAAGTTGATTGAATGTCATCATATTAAACGTTGTTAAGCTTAGGAAAAATTAATAAATAATTTAATTTTACTATTTTTACTTTCACGTAACTACGAGAATAAAATTGGAGATAGTTTTTGATGTACAGAATGTTACATAGATAAGTAAATATGGTATTTTCCGTATGAATCATAAAATGCGGAATAAGATAAAGAAGAATTGGTCAATTTCCCAATCAATCCTCTATTTCCCGTTATAATTTTGGCTTAGTAAGATGAAAAAAATTGAACAACGCACTATTTGTTTTATTTCCAGATCGCAGCGGTATATTGCATATGTGGTGCGTTAAGTAGAGAGGCAGCCGAAGCAGCCGACGGAGAACCAGCGCTCGAACTTGTAGCAGCACCAGCCGCTGCTATAGCTGACCTATTACACGACGAACCCGGGTCTTGGATAGCTTGCCACGGTGGATGGGTAACAACAAAAATATATAACCAAATCGAACTACTACTATAAATGCAAAGATTTGTATCTGTATATACTTGTGTGTATATGTGTTTGTTACTTCTTCATGCTGAAACAGCTAGACGGATTTGGATAATATTTAGTAGATAGATTGTCTATGATCTGGAGTAACAAATAGGCTATTTGAAACCTTGGGATGCACACAAACGAAGCGAGGATACTGGATAAGTCCCTAGTAATATATAATACTACCTACTATTGTAGTAATAAAAATTGTGTATTTTTTTATTTATCTTCAAAATCGCCAGTTATAGTAGAGGATATTTCTTTTCCTTAAAAAAAATAAGCCAATTGAAATTGGTTCAAATTAATTCATTCATTCATTCCTACTACGCCTAGAACAATTACATAAGTTACCCAATTGATTCCGATGTTCAATCATTTGAGTGGTTTAAGTAATCGACTGTGAATTCTGATTGAATAGTAATTTTATTGTAATAATGTTGTTATGGAAGTTAACTACCTAATTAACTGTCTCGGTGGTGTAGTGGCTAGCAAGTACGGCTGAACATCCAAAGGTCCTGAGTTCGTGTCCCGGGTCGGGTCACGTTTAGTTATTAAGTTTTTCTGTTAAGCCTCAGGCTATTAGCCCGGAGTTGCGAAGTTGGCGGTGTTTCACCCCCGTTCCACAGCCGTCGGTGGTGTGCCTTGTCTCTCACTGGTCATGTCGAGTAGTCGTCGCACCGGAATATGAGAGTGACAGGAATAGACAGTGCACTTGTGTCTGCGCGTATACTTGTGCACAGTAATAACTCCTGCGCAAATGGCTAGTCTCAATGAGATTGGCCCCCGTGGCCGAAATCGACCGGGAGGGCATTATTATATTTATTATTATTGAAGTAAAAATACTTTAAAAATTGTATTTCACTTTATTATACGGTTTGCCTTCAGCGAGAGTAGAGAGAGAGAGAGGGAGAGAGAGTAAGAAAGTGGTGCCAAACTTGAACCTTTTGTATAAGGGTTACAACTTCATTGTCAATAAATCCAAAAATTCATCACAAATTCATTGCACGACCTCCACTCGATTGCAAAACTTATCAAAAACATATCAACGACCATGTTAGTCTGTGATCCATACGCTAAGAGAAGCAAATAATCATAATTTTAAAGGAAAAAAAAGGATAAAAAATATGCTTTTGGCCAAATTTAATATAACATGGAAATCGAAACGAACTTAATTAGCCCAACTTTCTAAGTTAGTAGGCACTAAGTATTAGTAATAATAGAGTTCCACTATTGACGTGGATCCAGTATCAAATCAGCTCGATGGAATTATTGTATTGAATACGAATTTTATATACCTACATACCTACTTAGAAAGTTTCAAATCGATTTAAAAATTAGAAGCAGGTTCGACTTTCTTATTCCGTTGCAAGTGAAACTAATAAAACCCACATGGAGTCGTTACTCTATACAAGAAGAAAGAGCAAACAAACAAGCAAATTTCGCATTTTTTATATTAAAGTGAGGGTTTTAGTTGAGAAACCAATATTTTCTATATATGTTTCAGAATGGACTTATCGAGCGTCTTCGAATAAGTGAACGAGACCAACGGTCTGAGAAGACTCTACGAGTAATGGTATCATTTTTCGTAATAGTGTGTCTGGTACTTCTGCTGCTACGGTGGGTGCTTCGTGCACATCCAGCGTATTACGAATAGACGATCGATCTCAAATCGCTTAAGCCAAATCCTCTCATACATCACTGGTGCAAATAAGGCATTTTTAGATGCGCGTCTTTAAAAATATTATCTGTCTCCTATTTCTTATTCACAGATTACATAAACGATTAAAATATAATATAATAAATTTTAATAATATTGTTAGAGCAGCTAATTATTTAAAAATCTGACTCAGGTACTCTTGAAAGATTAGAAAGTCTTTTTAATAAGTAGATTAATCAAATCAACTCAAAATATGCTTTATTCAAATAGACTTTTACAAGCTCTTTTGAATCGTCAATTTTACATTTTAGATTTAAATAAATGTCAGTGTAGTCAGCGCGTGAGGAATCTACCACCGGCTCGGAAGATCATTTAGGCTTCTTTCTTTTTTTCCTTTTCTGCCTCTTTAAATTTTAAATTATCACATGATTAATTATATACAATAAATTATTTATAGTAAGTAAGCAGTAGTTATTATTGTTGGTGTAAAATATGTTTATGTACGATGATATACCCACGCGCAGTTTATATTAAAAATACTTAGATTCAATTACTTTGAACTACATGTATTTATCTTCTGTCTTTCTTTAGGGTGCTATATATTTTACTAACAATATGTATTTAAAAGTTCGTGATCTCAAAAATGCCTAGCCTTATTCGTAACTAGGAAATCCATTAACAACTTTTTATTCTAGCATAAGCATAAAACCGTGTTTTTCTACAAGAAAACAACTTCCGGATCCAATTAAATAAAATCATTGAGTACAATTTAAGTGCCTATAAATATATAACTACAAGTAGTATTTTTGGTAAGTAAGATGTTTATAATAAAATATACTAGATCTTAAATATACCTATGTAGTTTTATAACACAAAATAAATAATGTTTTATTTTTCGGATAGTATTTACAAAATAATATCTATTACCTGTATAAAGTATTATAGTTATGTAAAAAAACTGTGTTAAAATATTATAAACTATGAATATGTACTAAAAATATAAAATAAATATGATCATGTGAATATATTTTTTATTTCCAACTGCATCTGTTGATCGCAAGCAGGCACGGCACTCCTTTTATACAAACATCAAATAATTTACACATTTTATAACATTGTATAAAGTGTATTTGTACTATAAAGTTTAATATTTATAATAAACTAGTGACTTACCCTCGCTTCGCGTGGGTGCGTTTTATATAGATAAGAATAGTTATTGCGAGAGTATTTTTCTGTAGGCCTTAATAAGACTTATAGTTTTCCAGTAAATTGTTTTGATGTATCTCTTAGACAGCGTTAGGCATGTAAATTTCTAAGAACGACTCGATAGAATCGGTTATTGTATCTTCCGTGGGAATGAAAGATTTCCCTGTAGTAAAAGGTATCCTAAATGTTGACCCGAGTAATAAGTTATCATTACATAAAGTTTAGTTAAAATCGATTCAGTAATTTTTGTGTGAAACGCGCACATCGACTCGCTAAGTTACTGTTTTATTATAATAGATAAAAAAAATATGTCTTAAATTATTCTGGATTAACCTTTGCAAAATATAATTTTATTTATACACTCATACTACGGCATAGGTACTATTTTTTTATTTGAGTGTTTCAAGAACCTATTTATTTTTAAATATCAAGCTACCTTTACGAATGACCACAAGTGCCTCAGTGTAAATGCGAATATCTATAATAGCGTAGTGCAAGAGAGTTCATGTAATCCATAACGATCGACCTCCATTTTTAATGAGCATCTGTATGTAATCGTTGTATAGCGATGTTTTTAATATGAACGTAATAAAAAAATCATCATCAATAAATATAATTAATCTGCTGATATTAGACAATGCCAAGCGCAAATAGGATAGAATACTTGAGTCCAAACTTGGTCTTCGCAACTTATTAAAACTTCCAGCATTAAAACGACCGACTTTCTTCAGTTAGCTTCTCGAAATACGTCATATAATTTATTTTTTAATTAATTTTTTCAAATTATGTATTATAGACTACTGTATAGGTACTGTCGTATACTTACAATGTCAATTCCTATTTAAACTTTTTTTTATGAATAGCTAAAAATAGCGGTGACTTTTTAGTATTTTTTAATTAAAAAATATGCCAATTTATACCTCAAACTAAGGGGTAAAATAATCAAATATAATGTAATTTCAGTAGGTATACTTAAGTGTGAGGAATCTTATTATGAAAATAAAAAACCCGACTGAAAAATATATTATAAAAATAAAAAATCCGACTGCATAAAAGCTAACTAAATCGATGAAAACAAGTTGACGATGGAATAAAGTATTATGCAGTAAGGTATAAGGATGAAACGTGAAGGATTTTTTTTAATTCGTACCTTTGAATTTAGGAACAAGCATACATACACATACACGCGCACGCACGCACTCACGCGCACACACAGACACATACACACACATACATCACATAATACTATACTTTTATAGAGCTATAACTATAGTTACCAACTTAAAACATCCACTCGGTGAGGGAGTCAGACTCGCACTAATCTGACTTTTAGAATAATAATTGTTTTTCTCTCATACTTCTACTACAATAAGAGCTAACATTATATTTATTTAATATAATATTAATATGTTGGTACATTAACACACAGCACCAAAAATAATCTTTGACTATTTTGCATTAATTTGTTTTTACCTTGATCCTGATTTAATTCCTTAACAATAAGCATTTGTTAGAATTTTCCACCTGGTCTCTTTGTTATGTCATTTTTTCTTGTACTTTATGATTCTTTCTGTAACTTTTATGTACCGATGGGTAGCTAACGATACGTAGATATTTTTAAAATGATCGGCAGGATAAGTGGCATAGGGATTTTTACAGAAAATTTACAAGTTATTCAAAGAATTAAAATTAAAAATCCAAAAGTTGTAAGCAGTTTTAGAGCTCTAATATCAGACCAATAAAAAAGTACTTTTTTATTGGTCTAAGGCTCTAATTTGAATTATGAAAATGCTTGAATATTATTTTTTTTCAATATATTTTTTTTGTCTTAAAAACAAACGGATTCCAATTGGTCTAATAAATTAGTGAAAAAATAGTTTCATTTAAAATTTGCAATAAATCTTCGCTAGGTCAACTGATGTAGTAAAGATTAGGTATTGACAGAATGGCGTAAACGGTGCATCTTACTAATATTATAAATGTAAAAGTTTAGATGGATGTTTGGACGTTTGTTCCTTAATCACGCCAGAACTGTTCACGGCTGAACGGTTCTCGATGAAATTTTCGCGTACAACGTACATAATATTATTAATGTACACCTGAATTAATAGTACGAACAATACTTTGGGTAACTTTGAATATGATTTAAATATTTTCACATTAACAAAATTTTAAAAATGTCAATTATTTCATTTCACGAGACGATGTTACTTACAAATATTTTATATAATAGAAATAACTAATGAAAATGGAGGGTCTAACTTATAACGAATAGAAACACTAGATCTAGTCTGTGTGTAGAATGTTAAAGAAAATAATCAAGAATAAAATATGAAAGTATCCCAATAGAGTAAAATAATAAAGTAAATGACACTATTTCCCAATTATTATAATATATATTATACAGTATTATTACCTATAAATATTTGTAACTCTTATTGTTTACCTCCACATTCAATTTTCTTGGTAATGGCTTCAAAACGTGCCAGTTGAGTACAGAATTACTTCGCCAATGTCACGTAGAGTGGAGAAGACCATCCTTTACATAAATAAATACATAATATAAATGGACTATAAAATATAAATTTTTATTTGTCATCCAAGCTATAAATCATGTAAGGTATAATTAATGTTTTTTAATCTATGTTTTCTTTTTAACCGACTTCCAAAAAGGAGGAGTTTCTCAATTCATCGGAATCTTTTTTTATGTATATTCACCGATAACTCGAAGAATTCTGAACCGATTGGGATTTTTTTTGTTTCAAAGGAATTTTTTTTTCTTCTCAGGTGGTCCCATATAAATTTTATTGAAATTGTTTAATCAAATATGTTATTAAAAAACTTTCTTCTTACAAATTACCTGCTTATTACGTTTACACAAAAAATAGAAAAATAAAAACTTAAAAAAAAACGACTTCCAGGCACTAAAATATAAAAAATAACTAAACAGAGGTTTTCATTTAGATATACATATTTATCTATTAGATATACATATCTTAAATGATTGTAGGCTGGTAGCTGGCAGTGGCACCACCTACCCTACCCCAGCCTGCAAATTTATGATATTCGCAATGAAAAAAATACTAATTGATAGATTTTTAATAGCTCAATTCAACTACGTAGCCCTTCCAAATTGCTCACCATTAATTATTTAATTAAAAATCAATAAAGTCTTTGAAAAAAAATTAATTTATCTGTATATTCAAACTCCTATATCTTTTGATGTATACAATATTTCAAATTGCTCAAAGTTCTAAAATACTGCTCAAGTTGCATTTGTAATTGCTCAAGTAGAGTTCTTACCAGCTCCACTTTCGCTGATTATTAAATAATTAAAAGTATAGTTGTAATAAATGTAACGTAGGTTAAGTGAGCGTGCGCATGCGCACCGCGCATTGTCGGTCGGCCTCGGCGGGCTTGGACAATCGTTCCAATTCAACGTCTTAATTCTGTTTCTCGGTGGATTTCTTTAAATTTATTGAATTTATGAATTGTTCACATTACGTGATTCCACTTCAGATATTATAACATAAAGAACAGATCTGGAATCTACCAATAAATGAAAATTAATACCAACAGATAAATTAAGACAAAATCTTATGTTCAAATGCTTATTCTATTAAGGTAATAGCCATGACAGGGATCATTAGTAAAATGTTATTAACATCAATACAAGACGGAACTTTTTTTATTTTTAAATATACATATAGTTTAATGACATTTTTATTTCAAAGAAACAAACTGCAAGAATATAAACTGCCTTTAATATAAAGGCCAGCACTCACCTATCTATACGTTAAATTTATTCAAACTATTTATATTTATTTAATAATTAAGGAAAGTGGAGCTGGTGAGAACTCTACTTGAGCAATTACAAATGCAACTTGAGCAGTATTTTAGAACTTTGAGCAATTTAAAATATTGTATATATCAAAAGATATAGAAATTTGAATATACGGATAAATGAATTTTTTTTCAAGGACTTTATTGATTTTTAATTTTATAATTAATGGTGAGCAATTTGGAAGGGCTACGTAGTTGAATTGAGCTATTAAAAATCTATCGATTAGTATTTTTTTCATTGCGAATATCATAAATTTGCAGGCTGGGGTAGGGTAGGTAGTGGCACCGACTTCAAAAATATCTGATTAGGTAACTATTCTAAATATATATCATGGATGACAAATAAAATAGATGAATTGATATATATCTAATATTTTTTACATTTTAGTGCCTGGAAGTCGTTTTTTTTAATGTTTTTATAAGATTGTAAGAAACCTGTACACGGTACACCTTATATTATCTGTATGTGTATACGTATAATATAATCTGTGGTCTTGTAATGAAAAAGAATGAAGTAAAACAATTGAGATTAAGTTGAATAGAAATATTCAATAGGCAAAATATAAATGAAATTTTTATATTGTGTAGTACAGAAATTCATTGTACAAAATAAAACAACGTATTCCACGTAAGTTGTAGTATGATACTTTATAGTCAGCTGTATTAAACTTTAGGAACGCCATAACGTGAAGTGGCGCTGTTGTAGGAATTCAACAACTCTAAAGGAGAGAAAGAGATGTGCAACTATTTTGTCTTAAATATTCCGTATTCGTGACCATTCATATTTTTTATGATACATGGGCTTAGACCCTATTTAACAAGTTTAACTTGTGTAATATTCATGCACATCTTTATATTGTTAGCTGTTCACTACAGTATTTATACAAACTTTGCATTATTTATATCGAGTGTCGTTTTCTATTACAGTTTCTAAATTATCATTTTGATTTCAGATGTAAATGGAAAAGTAACAATGAAGTATTATTGTAACTGCAAATGAAACAGTAAAGCAATTTAGAACTTTATTTAGTGCGCTAGTTATTACATTCGTAGCTGCAACAATGAAGAGTACATTGCCAAAAGACAAACCAGGCAAAATGAGGATTAGAGCTTTCCCTGTAAGTTACTGACTTGTTTCACACTTTTTTTCTAGAATTTGATTTATAATAGCAATAAATGTATCACTTCTCTTTAGATTGACTAATATTGTTTAGAACCAATCACTTTTCACTTTTGGTTTACCTAGTTGTATTAGTATTAAATTTAATGCTTACATACATTTCATACTCATCATGCAACCTCTTCATTACATTTCATGACCTCATATATATTAATATCAGTAATTTACTAGATTAAAATAAGAAGTGTAATGAAGAAGTATTTTATTGAAAAATATTCAACCTTATGGATTTAAATGTTTCTGCCACAAAATATAATATAGTGTCAAAAAATTTATTGACAGATAATTCAAAATTAGAAGTGTGTTTTAAAGGATGTTAGGAACAAAATCTTTGTATATAATATGTCATAATAATTATTTTATTTGACATCATTGAGATCAAAGCTTACAATCTATGAACTTTTGTGCTTGTTTATATTTGTTATATATTTACTACAATGTTTATTCAACATATATTAATATAACAAAACATAATGACTAGAAAATTTCAAGTATGGAACTATTCAGAACCATATTACCAAATGTACCCCGACACTTGGGTTTGTAATTATTAGTATTATGTATTTTACTTCTCTTGATGAATAATTCTTTTATTTTCCTCTTTGCAATTAGGCCTTTTTGAAAAAAAAAACATTTGCTTTTATTTATAAGTAATATCTGTAAACCTGGATCAAAAGCATATATATTTTTCAATGATATAAATATTAATATTTAAATATGAAATATTAATATTTTATATAAAATTTTGTTCTTATTTTTACAGATGACTATGGATGAGAAATATGTGGAGAGTATATGGAGCTTATTAAAAAATGCAATACAAGAAATACAAAAGAAAAATAATTCTGGTCTATCATTTGAGGAGCTCTATAGAAATGCATACACTATGGTTCTTCATAAGCATGGGGAAAGGCTCTATACAGGTTTGAAGGAAGTGGTCACACATCATCTTGAAAATAAGGTACATAAAGAATATTGTAATATTCAGTTATTTTATGTGCCAGTTTGTAGATTTTGACAATAGATTTTTGATATGTCAAGTGGACAGTTGGAGATTCGCATTATATAAATAATTAGGAATGTAAAAAATGTAAATGTAAAATAAGTATTCAGAAAAAGCAAGAAATATAATTGTTAATTACCAAATATTTGTTTTCCTGGAAAATCCTTCAGAACTGTTTTAATATTAAATCCAATGTTACTTGATACATATTTAGGGATAATAGATTTGGCTTTGGCTCTTTAATATTTTGGCTTTTTCTTAAATAAAAAAATTACTTACCAATGACTTATTATTCTGTTTTATATATATCTTTATTTAAAGGTTCGTGAAGATGTTTTACACTCTTTACACAATGGCTTCCTGCAAACCTTAAATAATGCTTGGACAGATCACCAAACTAGTATGGTTATGATTCGTGACATACTCATGTATATGGATAGAGTATTTGTACAACAAAATGATGTTGATAATGTATACAACTTGGGCCTCATTATATTTAGAGATCAGGTAAGTTTTAGGAATTTTAAACTTTCTTTATTAGAATTAAGATCTCGGAAATGATTTCATCCATTACCATTATATTAATAAAACCTAATATTTACATTGCCTAAGTAACCTTCTGTGCAAATGTTGTCTTTGTTACCAAGAGATGGGTGACTTAGTGTTAAGGTTGCCTATTGTACCAGTTGTACTTCTATTGTTTAAGCTTTTATATTTTATATGTCGTTTTCTGTATGTGGATGATTGTGTTCAACAAAGAGTATCTTTCTTTATTTTTTACTTTCTCATCTTTTACTTTTTGTATAGTAATAGTAATTTTTAAATAGAACCTCAGAATACTTAGTTGATAAACTTATTGGTTATGGAACTGAAAAGTATTAATCAAATGAATTAATTTAAAAGCATAAAATTTATAAATTATTACCTTCATTTTTATACATATATATTAATTTTATGATTAATTAAATTATGAAGCATAAAAAAAATGCCCATGATCAGAGGACAATAGGTCAAGATCAAGATTGATATACAGAGCCTTGTATAACTAATCCTCTCCCGAGAGTATAGATACAGGCCACTTTTATGTTAAGAAAAACATAAAATTGCATTAGGTATACTTAAAAACACCTGTGGAAATAACGAAAGTTATGTCGTTTCATTTTTGATCCACAAATCATTGGTATTACTGAATGTGCATATAAGCAGGGCAAATCTGAGCCTATAAACGAAGGTCCCCTAGCTCCACAACTTATTTATATTGTAGTTATCGTAACAAGTTGTCATTTTTATCGATATTAGATAATAATAATTTATCCAACTTCTTATTTACCCACTGCTCGACTTCAACTGCTTTTAACTGCTCGACACGGGCTCTCCTTTGAGCAATTGCATTAAGCCTTAGTCTGCCACGCTGACGTAATACGGGTTGACGGACATCATGCGTCTTTCGAAAACTTGGTATGTTCTCTAAGTTATGTAGGTTTCACCACAATGTTTTCGTTCACCCTTATTAGCAAGTGGTAATTGAGTGAAGAATTATTCTAACATCTCAGGTACCAGATTCGAATTCGCTTCACTTAGTTTTCTAAACGAGCAAGTTGCCATTGGGCTCCATTTTAAAAGCAAATCGATTGATCTACATATTGATCCATAGAATACATGAAATAACATATACTTATAAAATTTAAATGTAAATTGTAATTTGAATAAGACATTGAGCTATTGCTTAGTAATTAGCAAAGGACAAATATAAAATGTTCTTTGGGGTAAAATTTTTTACTTAATATTATCACAGAATCATATGTGTACAAAACATACAGGAACTCGAATCATTGTCATTTCAATGCTAAGTGGCCTCTTTATCCCCTTTTGATTTTATATATTTTTATCGCTTTCTTCATTTATTCGACAAGAGCTCATTAAATTGCCTTTATAATATTTCACATCTATTTACCATCTTTTTATTCGTCCTTCGTACATCGTTAATTCCTTATATGTATGTATGTTTGTCATTCGCTTTTTCTCACACAAGAAATATCATTATTTTAGAAATATAATTTTGTTATTTGATCATATTTCATTCTAATTATCTAATAATAATAATTTGAGACTATATTTCTTTTACACTCATCTTCAATTCATAATATTATTTTAAATTGAGTTTAAAAAAACGATACAATGAAATAATTTATTCTGTCTGGCTAGTTAAATTGTATGAAATATACATTAAATTAGTTAAAAGCCTCTCAGTATAAATGCCACTAATGTTTATTAAACATATTATCTGCATGCATTATTCAGATCAATATAACACAAGAACCATATTGGACTTTTGACCTAGAGCCTATGACCATTGATGAACCCTGACGGTTGCCTAATGTCTACGTTTATTCATAAAGTAGATTTTTCATAAAATTTATATGAGCACATCCCTAGGTCTATGATACAAAAAAGTAAACCAAATTGAGAACTTACTTTTTTTTAAAGTCAATAAATGTGAACAAATTTACATCAACCTTGCAGAACATTTTATTCCATACAACTTCCGACCCCCGCAGTTAGTGTTTAATAAAGTAACTTTCGTTAAAATAAGTTAGGAGTAGTATATGTGGCAGCTTTTTGTTGAAAACACAAATTTCACCTTATATGTGCATTCATTAAACATACTTAGGGATTTAAAAAAGTACCTCAGTGGTCTAGGAATTACTATAGGATACTGCCATAGATCTTGATCCTGAGTTTGTGTCCCGGGTCAGGCTATGTGTAGTAATTGGGTTTTTCTGTGAAAAAAATATCAATAGCAGCCTGGAGCTGGATGGACATCGGTTAAGTATAGTCCTCTGTTAAGTATTAATGACATTTGTTTGAATAACTAGGTGGTACGTTACGGCTGCATCCGCGACCACTTGCGGCAGACGCTGCTCGAGCTGGTGGCGCGCGAGCGGCGCGGCGAGGTGGTGGACCGGCTCGCCATACGCAACGCGTGCCAGATGCTCATGGTGCTCGGCATCAACTCGCGCGCTGTCTACGAAGAGGACTTTGAGAAACCCTTTCTGCATCAGTCTGCTGAGTTTTATAGGGTTTGTTATTTCTATGTACTGTTCACTCAGCATTGAAGGATGTTTCGGTAGTAACAAATACTTATACTATGTAAAGGTATAAATAACAGTCTCTTTTATAATATGATATACACTGGCGTGCAAAAAAATCGTGCCACCTAGACAAACTTAAGATATGATATTTTTTTATTAATTTTGTTATTATAAATGGGTAGCTGTATACCCTAGGTACCTAAATCAATAATCGTTGAATAATTTAAATAAAAATTATTGCTCGAAAACAATTTAATTTTTCGCGGGTTTGGTATAAAAATGTAAGCCGCAAATTAATGGGAAAATTAAAAGATTTCGATTGGTTTTATGACTTTTAATAATGCGTATTACCGCCTCTATTTTTAATTACAGCTTTTAATCGGTTTTTCAGAGATTTGACACATTTTTTTAGATAATCTTGTGTAATAGACTCCCATTCTTCCAATAAGGCGCTTTTTAATTCTTGAATGTTGCTCGGGACTACTACGCGACTTCTAACTTTTCTTTTGAGATGGTCCCATGCATGCTCTATCGGATTGAGGTCAGGGCTTCGCGCTGGCCAGGCAATAGTAGACAGTCCGACCTCTTGAAGATACTGCCTTACTGATGTAGCAGTGTGTGGGCGAGCATTATCTTATTGAAGCAGAAAATCTTCTTCAATGAACCCAGTAAAAGGCATCACATGATCTTCTAAAACCTCTGTTATATACCTAGCGGCTGTAAGGGATCCATTTTCTATGAATATAAGCTCGGTTTTCGCTTCGTAACAGAATCCTGCCCAAAACTAACTGAGCCCCCTCCATATGACACTGTTTCCCGCATAGTGCAGGGTGCATATCTTTCACCTGGTTGCTGGTAAACAAAATTACGGCCGTCGGCACCATGCAAACACATTCTGCTTTCGTCAGTAATAAGAACCTTCTTCCACTGCTCCAAATTCCAATTCACGTGATCTCGGGCAAAAAGTAATCTTGCAATTCGATGTGCAGGGGTGAGTTTGGGGCCAGTTGCGGACTTGCGTGGCGTCAGGGAACGGCTCTAAGTCGGCGCCTTACTGTCCACTCGCTAACATTAACACCTCTCACTTCTCTCAGAAGATTTCGAACGTCAACCCCTGTGCGATGACGATTTCTTAGAGCTGATGACACAATAAATCGATCATCACGCTCTAATGTGGCTCTTCGTCGGCCGGAACCTTGTCGTCGTACAAAGCCACCAGTCTCTATGTAACGTTTGTACACTCTCTGGACCGTAGAACGGCTCACAGAAAAAGCTTGAGCCACTTGACGTTGACTTTGTCCAGTTTCAAGCAAAGTCACAATTCGAGATGATTCAGCCTCGGTCAGATCCATCTTGCAGTATTTCTAATAATCGCAGATCAAAGTAGAAGTGTCTTGTTCAATAATTGGAACTCAACTAATCTTCTAAAATAACAAAAAACTATACATATTTGTGGCTTCAATCCATATTATGCAAATATTCACTAATTACTGCTAATTGACTATAATTAAGCGCACACGCAGGAGTTTTATGACTTTTTTGAAGGAAAAAAAGGCGTCTAATCTCCTTAATTACCTTTGCGGTATTTTTTTTCACCAAACAATTGTCAACAAAAAATTATGCTTAAAATTAAGGGTAGCCCGATTTTTTGCATGGAAATTATTCTCGTTTAGTATTTTTCATTTATACATATAATAAAAGTGTAACTGATCGCTGTCTGTACATTTAAAATATTTAAGAAAAAAATATAATTAGAGGTCTTTATTAAAGCAATAGAATAGAACCCAAAACAATGGTTGTTAAAATTTTTGTCTGTCTGTCTTAAAGAACGAATCGGGATGATCTCAAACGAAGCCAGGATGAGACGCTAGTTCAAAATATAATATATATAAAGTTCTATGAGTACAAAGTATTAAGTTTAAACGTTTAAGAAAATAGAATTGAAAATGCTTCTTAAATATTAAGCTAATTTAAACTGACTTTAAAGAGAAAGATACAATGAAACCACGTGGTGTTGAAACAATGTGGCTATTTTAAATTATATGATTTATATTAAATTAGGTAAAAGCTCCTCCATATAAATTACACTAATGTTTATTAAGAATATTATGTGCATGCATGATTGTTTATGTTCAAACAGATGGAATCTCAGAAGTTCCTGGCGGAGAACAGCGCGGCGGTGTACATCGCGCGCGTGGAGACGCGCATCGTGGAGGAGGCGGAGCGCGCGCGGCACTACCTCGACGAGAGCACCGAGCCGCGCGTCGTCTCCGTGCTCGAGCACGAGCTCATTGAGCGGCACATGAAGACCATTGTTGAGGTACACATATTACTTTTTTTTTATTTCTTTGTCGTGAACAAACTGAGCAAAGTGGTTTAACCACTGGATGTATAGCCAGAAAAAGTATTCATGTGATACTTTTAAAGTTTACACAGCAATGTACGAATCTGTTTAAGGATTTTTGCGTGGCGAGTAATAATAACCTCAGATTTTTATATTTATGACATTGGCCGGATTTAAAACATATTCTAATGTATGTTTATAATATAAAAATTATAAAACCCAAGAGTTTTTTTTGTTATGTGTCATCAATAAAATATTTTGCAAACAGTTTTTGTTATATACATAAGTAAAGACTAAAGAGTTCAGTACCTTTTCTCCTATATTGTCAACTGATTTTCTTTTTTGTTTGGTAGCTATTGATGAGTTTCAAGTGTTATTTTATTTTTTTATTTTTATTTATTCAAACTAAAATCCACAGCTACATACAGAGATAGAAAGCACATAAAAAAGTTCTTATATAAGCCAATTTCGGATTTTCATTATTTATGCAATATATATGGGTAGACTAATTGTATAAATATTACAGAGAAGAAAAAAAATTACAATAAAACAGGCAAACTGAAAAAAGCAGCTTATCAATAATAAGTTTACCTCAATCTTTCAATAATGATTATAGTCGAACTTCGACCACTGGGCGAACACTCGTAAAAATATAATAACGTAATATGGTTTCAATTGCAGATGGAGAACTCCGGCGTGGTGCACATGCTGATGCACACGCGCACGGCGGAGCTGGCGTGCGTGTACAAGCTGCTGTCGCGCGTGGGCGAGGGGCTGCGCACGGTGGCCGACACCGTGTCCGCGCACCTGCGCCAGCAGGGCCGCGCGCTCGTCACCGACACGCACCACAACACTAATGCCATCGCTTACGTGCAGGTGTGTAGCTTTTGTTTTTCTTTTAACTTGGCAGATGCGTAAAATAATATGGTTATGTAATTCACTAGTGAGAAAAGCCAAGACTATCTCATAAGGAATTGAGCAGGTATGTTTTTATTGGGTAGTATTGGCCTTTTATTTTATAATATTATTTATGGAAATAAACTAAGTGTTTGTACCTGTCCTTTTCTGATGATTTTAGTTGGTAATTTAATTTCTTTTCAAGTTAAAATATATTTTAAATATTAATTGTTTTTTAGGGGGTTACAATTTTTCACTACATATTCGTAACGCATACATTTTCTACTTTTACTTCAAACGACACAACTTTGATATATAACTATTGTATCTATTCTTTGCAGAATCTACTCGACTTGAAAGACAGATTTGACCATTTCCTTCACAACTCATTCAATAATGACAAACTATTCAAGCACATGATCGCCTTGGACTTCGAATACTTCCTCAACCTTAATAATAAGTCACCCGAGTTCCTGTCGCTGTTCATCGACGGAAAACTCAAAAAAGGAGAGAAAGGCGTAAGTTCTTGTTATCACTGAAATTTCCCAAAACTTGACAAAAATAATAAGTCTTAATGTAAGTGTTTTAAGCACCCAATAAAATGGCATTGAAAGTATTTTGAAAATATATAATGAAAAACCAAATAAATTTAATATTATATATAATCATTAATGTTTATAATCTATAAAAAGCTATAATGTTAATTTCAACACTTTATTAAGACAATTGTAGTATCGTAGTAGTTCTTAGATAAATACTTAGAATATAAAAGTACAAGAATTGAAATACATAAACCTTACTGGCTGGTAATGAAGATTTTTTTTCTGTACTTTGAATTGGTTTAAAAAATAATTGAACACAGATGAGCGAGCAAGAAATCGAAGCAGTCCTAGACAAGACGATGGTGCTGTTCCGCTTCCTGCAAGAGAAAGACGTGTTCGAGCGCTACTACAAGCAGCACCTCGCTAAACGTCTACTTCTCAACAAGTCTGTGTCTGATGACAGCGAAAAGAACATGATCTCCAAACTCAAGGTACACAATTAGTTTGCCAATTTATATATTATTTTTCATATGTAGAATATTTATTACATAATATATTTTAATATCAAGTAATAATGTTAAAGCAAATTGGTGTTTGTGTAATGCGAATACCATCTTTTCCCAGAGAGAAGGATTGTTGAAAGATGTCGAACCACGAGATTTTCATTGCATTATCGGTGACGTCTCTCAGATTGAAAACACTATGAGTGATATGTAATAGCCTTATCCCCTCCATCCTAACAATCCATATACTTCTGCAAAATTCTTTACCAATGTCCATCACATTGTAAGTGTTAGCACCATTTTATCTTAAATCTTGCTTAAAGTCTTTATTTTTATTTCAATTATATCAGGTGTAAAGAATTTTGCAGAATGTTAACCTATTAAAGACTTTAAGCAGGATGTTTTAATTTACAATTTTATCTGGAGACTAAAACTAATTTGAGTACATTAGTGTTTGCTATTAGTTGCCAAAATTTAAGTTGAATTTATTTATAGATATAGTTAAAACCGAAATCTTCTTAGATAGTTTTATTGTTGCTATGAATATTTCCATGTTCCAAAGCCTTAGGACTAAATAAAAAGCTTTTTACAAAAAGTAATTGAATAAATCCCAATATGAATATCACTCCCAACATTTTTCTACTGCAATGAGACGATCGTTGAAATGGTGGAAATGGAAATAAGTATACATGAAAAGATGATTTAAAAGGAAAGTTTTGTGATGTAATATACCAACTTTAAAACATAATTTAAAATTTAATAATTTAATTTACAGACTGAATGCGGGTGTCAGTTCACATCGAAGCTTGAGGGCATGTTTAAGGATATGACAGTGTCTAATACCATCATGGAGGAATTCAAGGAGCATGTGCTTTCATCCGGGGTGACTTTATTTATTTATCCTATTATTTGTATGTGTATCATTTCATGATTACTCATTTCTATTAATATACCAGAATCGGAAATGTACATCTGATAGACTTTATTAGAAAACAAATATAGTATTATTTTATTATTATTTATGTTGGGTGTGGTGCCGAGGTCGGCCCTAGCTACGTCGACCAGTTTTGGTCCATTGTAGCTCCCCTTATAATGAGTTCAAAGTTCTCCGCTTAGTCCTGTTGACTCCAGGAACTTCCAGATTTTCTGAGCGGGGAGCATCGGTATCTCTTCTGGTTGCATAATATGCTGCCCTAGATAGATACTTCTGCGGTGCATGAGTGGACCGCACGAGCAGAGGATGTGCATAGCAGTTTCCTCTGTCTCATGGCATAGTCTGCACATTGCGGTCTGACTGAGGCCGAGGGTAAACATATGTTTATTGAGTTTGCAGTGACCAGTAAGTATTCTGGTTACTGCACTGGTTTTATACTTGTTGAGTTGAAGCAACTCTTTTGTAAAGGTTTTGCGATATCCCTTAATTAGCGCTTTACAGTGTGTTTGTCCAGAAGTGGATTTCCACTCTTGAAGTGCTTTGAGATTGCAGTGGTTTTTGAGAATTGAATAGGCATGTTGTGTGGCAATACCACAAAATGGCTCAGGGCTAATATAGTATGTGCTGCTGCTTGAATATTAGTATAAGATATATCGTATCACGGACTTTTTTGTAGCACTATTACATGTTGACATATTAGAAATACATTGTTTTTATATTTAAATAACTATTTAAGCGTGACCCACTAAGAATATAAAGTATGTACAGACAATAAAGTAATTGGAACTGTGATTGTTAGGTAAATAGTACTTTAAAACCAAATTATTGTGAAATAGGCCACTACCGAAATAGAATCAGCATATCATGTTACACTTTACTTGAATGAAAATTTTATTGACCGATTTTACTTTGTGTATATTACGCGATGTCTTTGTCAATTGTAAACCAATTTAAATTATTGTTGTTTTAATGAATAGTTTATCCCATAAATAATATAAATGCGAAAGTTTGGATGGATGTTTGTTAATCACGGTTGAACGGTGGTTCTGGATGAAATTTGGCATTAAGATAAACAGTCTGGAATAGCACATAGCCTACTTTTATCCCGGCAAAATGTACGGTTCCCGTGGGATAGAGTTGTTTTTGTTTTTCACTAGAGACGACTCAAAGCGAGGGTGACTCGCTAGTATGTTATAAAGTATAATATAATCTATATAAAGGACTAGGAAAATTATACGTCTAAGGGTGGCATTATTACTAAAATGATATTGAATTTGGTATACCTTTTTAATTAGAAAGGTTATAATATGTTCCATCTGTACGTGTGTCAGGCCAACCTGCACGGCGTGGACCTGTCGGTGCGCGTGCTCACCACGGGCTTCTGGCCCACGCAGAGCGCCACGCCCAAGTGTAACATCCCCGCGCCTCCCAGGAGTGCCTTCGACGTGTTTAAATCGTGAGTTGGATTTTATATATCATGAATATAAAATACCTTTTATATTCATGATATATGTAGATTTATTTTGAATTTGTATTAAGTAATGTTATGTAATGCTCAAGTGAGTGGCAAGAAGTGAATTTGTTGAAGAAATATTTTGTGATTGATACGCAAACGTTAATGTTACATACATATTTCACATCAGTAGTAGATATTAATAAAACTAAACATACCTGAAATTGATTTGATATATTAAATATTTAATATGTTAAATTATCTGACTTCATAATGGTTTTAGAAATTAATGCCGGTTTTTGTTTTTGTAAATTATTGTTTTATTTGCCTATTCCACATATTGATATTGGGCATGTTTGGATGTTATTATTGCTTTGTTTAAAGTGAAACAAATACTTGTACAGTGAAATGTTTTTGTTTACAAATGAATGAACGTGCAGGTTCTACCTAGCGAAGCACTCGGGCCGCCAGCTGTCGCTGCAGCCGCAGCTGGGCAGCGCGGACCTGCACGCCACGTTCCGCGCGCACGCGTCCGCCAGCCCGCCGCGCAGCCCCCCCGCCGCCGCCCCCGCGCCCGCCCCCGCCGCGCCGCGCCGGCACATCATACAGGTGTCCACCTTCCAGATGTGCGTGCTGCTGCTGTTCAATAAACGCGAGCGGCTCACGTATGAGGTAAATATTTACTCACACACACACACGTACGCACATACAAACACACACACATATATTGAGGTTATGTTGTGGTTCATATAATATATGATTAATATGTCACGATTCAGTGATATTTTTCTTCTCGCTTAGTGAAGCGATGTCGTATCGTTTAAGCTTGTTTAAGCTTGTCGCGCACAATGGTGCGCGACAAGCTTAGAAAATAGTGTGTGTGTATTATTCACACACGGTAGAAGTGAATCTTCAGAAAAGTAACCTACGAGAGAATGAAATCAATATAGAGAATCAGGAGCAGGATAGTTATAAAGTTATTTTACATTTTATGTAACATATATTACATTACATATTATTCTGTATTATTTTTATTATTTTCACTTCCTGTGTAATGTATTCTATCTCATTTTCTCGCCGGCTTTATCCTATACATTTATGTTTGTATTTTTGCCGTGTCGCATTTTAGTTTCATCGAGTTTCAAATCGCAACGATTCTAAAGAATTTTCACTTCATTTAGTAATGGATATCCAATATTTTTATAATAATTTGTAAACCAACACTTTTAATGTACATACTATTCTTAGTAGTAGGGGAGCCCACGATGCTAAATGGGGATTTACTCGAGCGTCGTAGAGACCTATTGGGATGCAAAGCTTAAATGATAAGAAGAAAAAAATGTTATATGATATATACCTTTACATCGATGGGGGAAGCGGCTATAGATTTTTAAATATGTAAAAAAAACTGTTGCATAGACATCCTCGAGCGCGTCAGATATTGATATCATCAATGCCCTACGTATTTTTAATAATGTACGTATGTTAATCTGATCGTTTGCATGATGCGGGTGGTTGTATTTAAGGGTTGAAAATGAAAAAAAAAAATTTATCGAGCGCGTCAGATTTTCTAAGGGAGTGTTAAGTGCACCAAAAAAAAGCTCTCATTCACTAATCTGACGATTTCAATGGGACGCAAACTCGCGGCCATTTTCATAATGTGCAAAAAAAATTGCCATTTTGAAATACTCAAGCGCGTCAGATTAAGATATATATGGTTCATCTTTATGTTACAAACGTACTGTCTCATAATCTGACGATTATCTAGAGGTATTCGCCTGATCTGACAAAAAAAAATTAGAAAAACGGTTCACTTTAAAGGCCAAGACCTGCAACTTCCCGCTAATTCCATTCCTGGGCGCTTAAAATTGTACTTATGACATTTTTGAGCTCAAAATATAATTTATATGATATTTTGAGCTCGCTGAGTTCAAAGAAATAATATTTCTATGCATTTGAGCTCTCCCAGCTCGAAAGTCTGATAGAAGTTTCATAGAACACTATTTTTGGAATTTTCAAACCACAATAACTTTTGAATAGATCAAGCAATTTTCACGCGGTTGACGCCATTCGACGCAGTTTTATCATCCTCATAAGTTATTTTCAGGTTTTAATTTATCGAAACAAAAATTTCGGAGTAATCCCGAAAAAACACTTTTTTCGGTTTTCTTTCGTTCACGATATCTCTCGAACGAATCAACCGATTTTGACCGGATTAGCGACGATCGGCGTGGTTTTTCTAGCTTAAGGGCGGATTAGTTTTTGAAGTTAATTGATAAAGCCGGTTAAAAGTTATTCCAAAAAAAAAACCAAAATCTATCGGTCCGAATCGGTTCAAATTCACAGGAAATCTAATTTTGAGGGAAATCTTTAGAACGCCGTTTAGTAGATTCCGATCGGTTTAGTCGTTGGAAATATATAAGACATACATACAGACTTAGTGACAACATCATACTTCACACAAATAATATTAAAATAGCAAAAAAAGCCAAAACGTTGGAAACACGTTGTAAACAGTATGCCACGAACGAGTCTTTATGATCAGCTGTGATGGCGTCATGGCGGCAGAAACCAGAGTGGGGACGGAGTGAGAGAGTAATAGATAGAGAAAGAGTGAGAGAGGAATAGACACGCGGAGAAGGAAATGTAGGCATCACGCAGCTGCACGCATTTAACTTTATCGACGAATTTTTGTTATTTCGGCTTGCGGAAATCGTCAGATTATATATTTTTCATTATTCTTGAATTATTTCCTTCAAAATAAAAAAAAAATTAGCTACGCTCGAGAATGTCGAGATGACGTTTTTTTTTACAACTTTGTTGCCCTCCCCTTTTTTTACGTCACTCTCAAATTGTCAGATTAGTGGAATATACACTTTTTAGGACGTAATTAACTCACCCTACCTTAATCTGACGCGCTCGAGAATTTCTGATGGTCAATTTTTTTTTACTAATCTGATCCTGTATCCTTCACGGGCGGCCTTATATATGGGCCTCATGTTTTGTGGAGGTACTTAACCGGGTACAAGTATCCCCCTGTATATTCATCTGCCGCGCTTCAGTAAATCCCGAAATCCCCGCTTGGGCTGGCTCCCCTACTATAGGCATATTGATCGATTTAATACATCTCCCGAAAATTACCACATAGAAAATTAAGTAAACTAAAAATCATACTAATCATAAGTTTGCAGTGTGCAAATCTAATCAGATTTTTTGTTCTTGCCAAGAATTATAAATCTCTTACAATAAAACCAATTTGAATGGTAACATTATAGGAAATACTCAACGAGACTGACATCCCCGAGAAGGACCTGGTGCGCGCGCTGCAGTCGCTGGCCATGGGCAAGCCCACGCAGCGGGTGCTCATCAAGCACCCCAAGACCAAGGAGATAGAACCCTCGCACCAGTTCTATGTCAATGATGCCTTCACATCTAAGTTACATAGGTACTTGCTATTTACTTATTATTTTTAACACTGCACTTACATATCATATACATAGCTTATATCATGTCAGTCAAAGTTTATATGTATTATGATGATGATGTATGATGATGTTCTCCCGATCGATTCCGGCCACGGCGGCCAATCTCATTGAGTTAAATTAATTAATGTATTATAAACACAAAAGAACAATATTAGAATCTTATTACACAAATCTAACAATCAATTATTTATTTTTATACACTTATATTAATTTCTGGTTCATGAATACAATTCTACAAAAACTATCCAGCGATGCCCCGAGTCGTATATCGCGCCAGCTCGAGAAAAAGTAAAATCAACTCGACAAAGACTCTTGACAGCTTGATGTAGTTACAGATTAATTATTATCAAATATCAAAGTTATGAATTTGTCCTTATTATATAATATATTTTATATATTTTTTTTTACATTTTATATATTTTTTTCATTTTTGGTACATAAAATCAAGAATGCGAGAATGGATAAATAGATGTTTTTTTAATATGTAGTCCCTTTCATTTTAAAATAAAAATGTAAATTCTATATTTATAATTTGGTTTATTGAATGGTGTATTTAATTATTATTAACTCTTTATAATAATTAAATTTAATTGCGTTTTAATATGCACTATTATTGTAATAAAAATTTCCATTGTAACTTGTACATTCTGGAACAGAAAAAACTATAGATTTGATTTTTATCATATAGTGAAATATCGCCTGTATACAAATTATTCAAAAAATGTTTTTATTTATATTAAACATTGTCGATTTATTTATATTAAAATTAATGTTATGACACTTTTTCAGGGTTAAGATACAAACAGTAGCAGCCAAAGGGGAATCGGAACCGGAGCGACGCGAAACTCGTAACAAGGTTGACGAAGACCGCAAGCACGAGATAGAGGCAGCCATTGTACGCATCATGAAAGCTAGGAAGAAGATGGCTGTAAGTTTTCTTCATTTGTATCTTATATATGTAATTAAATTCTGAGGCAAATCTGTACATTAAACAGTTTTTGGAAAATTTTATTGAAATAGTTATTATTATTGATACAGAGGCAGAATCTATAGTTTTTAGAAACTTTTGTCTGTCTGTCTGTAACCGCATCACGAGAAAACTACTGGACAGATTTTGATGAAATTTGGTATGATAATAGCTGGTTATCTGGGTTAACATATAGGATACTTTTTAATGTGGGAAAATATCTCATCTCCAAGAAATCTATATTAAACATTAACTATAATACTTTAAAAGAAGTATCTATAGGCTTGAAAGAATAAAAAAAAGAGATTAAGATTGTTTATGTTGTTGGTGTAAATATAAAGTTACATAGAAACATAATATTTATAGACATTTAATTTTATTACAAAGGATTCTGCGAGTAAATGTTTGAAAGAATACAGTATCGAAAATGACATGATACTATTCTAGTACAAATGCTCTCATTACATAATTATTTTTGTTTCCTTCAAAAAACTTCAGATGGTGTTGAATCGTAAATTGTCCAATAATTTTATTTAATAAATAATATAATAATTGACTTTTCATTCATCAATAACATTACGCAAATTCGATTTAAAACAGTTTTTGTTTCCCTTACAATATTTTTAACGCAAAATATACTTTATAGGGTTCCATACCCAAAGAGTGTCAACGGAATCCTATCAGTAAGCCTCTGCTGTCCGTCTGTCTGTCTGTCAGAGAGCTGTATCTCACGAGTCGTAATAGGTAAAGAGTATAGATAGAAATTTTCACAGAGTGTGTATTTCTATTGCCGCTATAACAACAATAAAAAACAAGATGGCGAATTTCAAAAGGGCTGCCATGCAAATAAAAAAAATATCGATTATGCTACGGAACCCTTCGTGTGCGAGTCGGACTCGCACTTGACCGCTATTTTTTTGTGGTATTTTTACACAAAGCTAATAACATATCGGTACATATATCGCCATGTATTGACATTTAATTAAGCCAATATTTCTTTGTTCCTGATGGGACCCAATGACAATATGTGTATAATGTAAATGATGTATGTGACGTGTGCGTGCAGCACACGCTGCTGGTGGCGGAGGTGACGGAGCAGCTGCGCGCGCGCTTCCTGCCGTCGCCCGTCGTCATCAAGAAGCGCATCGAGGGGCTCATCGAGCGCGAGTACCTCGCGCGCACGCCCGACGACCGCAAGGTCTACACCTACGTGGCATAGGTGCGCCCCCCGCCCGCCCCGCCCTGCCCCGACGTTACCCCCTTTACGGCCTCTCTTAGGAACCTCTGTAGCACGGATGTTAACGGCTAATCATATATTTCTTTTAATTTGTTTGTTCCCCTAAACTAAGACTTACTCTCCAGACTTAAGTACAGATTGAATTGTAATCGCTGTAAAAATATTGTATATACAAATTTTGTGGTTTTAGTCTGATCGTTTCGATATGTACTATAAGTGTTCCTCATGATTTATTAGAGTAGCTATGTTAAATTAAATTCTCTTTTATAAAGACTGTTTCATTGCGACGGTTTCGCGACCCTGTTCCGTTGGGGGAAGGCGTAAAGCGTAATGGATTTTATTTTCAGGGCATGACGGTTTCCGGTGTTTGAAGGACGAATACCGAGTTAAAGTGATAGAAACGACAGAAAGTATTTAAATTATTTCGAAATAAAAATTATTAGTTATTACAGATAATGATTTTATTTATTCAAAAACACAATTGCACTTAAATATAGAAATTTTGCTAGAGTAACCTTGCAGGCGGTCGATTGTGATGGGAAGAAAAAGTTTTTCGGTAAATGAATGTCCAAATGTGGTGCGCCGCCATACTCGAGCGCGGCGGGCGCGCTGGCGTCGATAAAGCTCGTGTCAACGGTCAATATTACTGACAAGGAGTCTGTGTTGAATGTGACATTCCGTGCTGTGCTTTCCACTTTAGCGCTTAAAATCTTATACTGCTCTGTGACATCTACGCTATCATCAGCAAAAATGAATATAAAAGCAAACCTTGTTATTAAATTATAACAAAGAAACTTCGAGTCGTTTGAACGATATTGGCCGTAAATATCGCTTTTGTTAAATTTCCTAAGAGTTATCCATTCAATATCGCTAATATCACTCGGGTTGCCCCGCGGCGAAATAAAGATGGACTTATTTAATTGTAACAACTCGATTATTGTTTCTTGAATTTTCAAACATTGATCTGTTCTATTATGTTTAAGAAAATTTTTATCTAAGTTTAATCTACATATTATGCGTTTGTTTTGGCCAAATATCAACTTGTTGTAAGTAAAATTTGTAGACAAACATTGTCCATTTTCATTGTACGGAAGGGACAAATGACTTCTTTTTCCATGAGTTCGGTTATAGAAAAACTTTGTATGGTTGTTTTCGGCAAAAGAGGCAATAACCTCATAACCTCTCATGTAACCTGGATTACCACTGTATTTAACAATGTCGTCGACCGAATCGTTCCCCATGTAGTAATTCACGACAATATCTTGCGTAACAAACTGGTGTGCGACTGGAACTTGTCTAACATGAAATTTAAGAACTGCTTTTGTGATTATAGATCCATTACAGTACAATATATATTCAACTTTTGTGCCAACGTTATTACAATAACTATTTGAGCAGGATGGTTCATGTAATACTTCATTATAATAAACACAGGTCCTGGCGTCACAAACCAGAATTGTCCAACGAGTACAATGAAGTGTAGTGCAGTTCTGAAAATAAAACATATTAGATATAAATCTTACATCTGTTTAAATGTTGATTGAAATAATAAAAAAAATTACAGTTGACCATAATTACCAATGCAGTATTGTTACTTGTTTCTTGCATGGGGCTTATAACATTTGTTTTTGAAGCTAATTCTAAAATATGTAACATATGAAGGTCTTTTATCTTCACATAGCACTTTATGTGCTCATTCTGTAAAAACTTCATATGTCTCTGACCATTGCAGTACTGATTAGTTACTGTTGTTGGAAGTTCTAAATATAAAATTATTAAATATTAAAGCAGATATTTTATCTTGAAATTATAAACATGTAAAAAATAACTAAACGGGGGTTTTCATTCAGAATAGATACCTAATCAGATAAGTTTTTATTTTTCTATTTTTAGTGTAAACGTAATAAGCAGGTTATTTGTAAGAAGAAAGTTTTTTAATAACATATTCAATTAAGCAATTTATTTAAAAAAAATAATTTAATGTGGAATTTTTAAAAAACCACTCAACCGATTTCGATAAAATTTATATGGGACAAGGGAACCCTTAGAAACGAAAAAAAAATCAAATCGGTTCAGGCGTCTTCGAGTAATCGGTGAACATACATAAAAAAAAGATTCCGGCGAATTGAGAACCTCCTCCTTTTTGGAAGTCGGTTAACAAGGTATAAAATGGTGACACATTGATATGCAAGGAATAAATGGTCAAAGAAGTTAACTATTATTCATATTTTACTTGATTAAAATTAAAATCATTGTATGTTTAGGTTTCATTTGAGTTATACACAAACATTATAATTACATTACTTTTAGGTAAAAGTAGCACTTACTTATAATATTGAGGGTTTCATTTCTTAATAACCAAACGGGGTGGCCCAATTCATATTCAGTTCTTGTAAACTCATGTAAAGGCTGATCCTTGTCATTAGTATGCCACTTTAAGAACTTGTTGATGTCTATTGTATGAAACTAAGTAAAAAGACGTGGTTAATTTCTATCGAAATGATACACATGACAAATGATGACAAAGAATTAAAAATATTCATCAAACCTTGTTTTTGTTTATTTTTCTTTTGTCGGGCAGATTGACTTTATCAATGCAAAATAAATTATGAAACAAATCTGTAGTTGATCCTCCATTACATGCAGGCAAAGAACATAGATGTTGCACATTTTTTTCAGTACCAAAACATCCTACACTGGTTTCTTTACAACCTCTAAATACATTGTGGTCTTTCTCTGAACAATCATTGTCACAGCAACAATGAATATCACAATGCTTATACTGAAAACAAAATGCACATTTATTAAGTATACCAAATAACTTTAAATATATATATGTAGGAATAGTTCTCGACCGATTCCAGCCACGGCGGTCAATCTCATTGAGGCTAGCCAACTGCGCAGGAGATATAGTGCAGCGCGTGTGCGCGCAGACAAGTGCGCTCTCTATTCTTGTTACTCTCATACTCCGGTGGTACTACTCGACACGACCGGTGAAAGTTGAAGCACAGAACCGACGGCTTTACATGAGGCAAACTTCTCAACTCCGGGCTGTTTGTTACTGGGGCTTACTAAATAGAAAGAATAACTAAACTTGGGCCGACCCGGGACTCGAACCCAGGACGCATATGCATCCGTACATGCTAGCCACTACACCGAAACAGGTATGGAATAGATCTATACATATAAGCAAATTGTAACTAAGCCGAATCTGTACCTACATTAGATATTTTTTTGAAAATCTTATTGAAATAAACATTATTTTCGATACAGAGGCCGAATCTATAGTTTTTAAAAATTTTGTCTGTCTCTGTTACCGCATCACAGAAAAACCACTGAAGGGATTTTGATGAAATTTGGTATGGTGATAGCTATCCTTTTTTTTTTTAACGTTGGGAAATGCATTTACGCACGACGTGTGGGACTCACCGGCGTAATACAGCCAGTACTACCCACTAAAACCCAACAAAACCTTCCCCCGTCTTAATGGGGCGTCGCAGGATCGCTTACGCATTCAACTACGACGCCTCGACGGCAGGTCTGCCAAAGCAGACCACCACAACCATGGTGTTGCCAAGGTCCACTCTGCTATCAGAGAAGTACCAGGAGCAACCCGCAAGGTACACCGCCCCCCGAAGAGGGCCACCTCCCACCGCCCACCGAAGTGAGCAGCCTCCCTGTGCGTTTCTTAGCTTCGCGCCCGGTTGGATTGCCGGGCACTACTGAGCCCCCAACCACGACAAGGTGAACGCACGTTGGGGGGGGATGGTGATAGCTATCCTGGTCAACATATAGAATAACTTTTTACCGCGGGAAAATGTCTCATTTTTTAGAAAAAAATATACAAAAACTGCAATGTAAGAGTATACTAATATAACCTAAGAATTTGGTTTTTGGTCATCTGAACGCGGGCGGAGCCGCGGGCAATGCTAGTAGACTATATATTATATGATATATAGCCTATAAGCCTTCCTCAATAAACGGGCTATCTAATGCGAAAAGATTTTTTCAAATCGGATTAGTAATTCCTGAGATTAGAGCGTTCAATCAAACAAACAAACTCTGCCTTTTTATAATATTAAGTATATATACATACTAGTAAATCACAGTGACACGTCTTATTTGTTTTATTAATTTTCTTTGGCATTTGAGATGGTTTCGCACTTGATGTACTTTTCTTATCAAAGAAAGTTATCTCAGTAACATTATCCCACTCTGTACTTGTAAAATATGTTTCTGTTGTTAAAGTATGATCAATTGTTGATGAATTTTCATCATAAAACAGGTCATATATGGTACTTGTATAATCTGTAGAAGTAGCAAAAAAAGGAAGCGGTAAAGTTGAATTACTATGTTTTTGTTCTACACTATTTTGCCGTAAGCTTTTTCTTTCAGTGCGGTAAAATAGAGCAAGAGGCTTTTCGTTCTTTATTTCTAATATATCTGCTTTTCTTGTGGCACTGCTATTATGGTCGATAAAAGTGGCCTTATTCTGAACTCTTTGATTTATAAAGTCCATAAGACAGAATTGAATGACTATTGACAGTAATGTGAAACACAAATATGTGATGGGCTGCATTGTTTATTTATACTCTACGCCAAATTGACTAAAATTTCGTAACACCAAGTGAACATTTAACTCTACTTCTCCTTTTGATAGGGTTATCAATGTAAACCTGTAAACAAATAGTATTATTAGAGTTTATTTTTTAATAACTGAAGTATCAGAGGACTAAAAATCAATCAAACCTGTCACTTCCTAAATTGATAATATCAGTTTGTGTCAATTCGTGTGAGCCACCAATAAATATCTGTCGCAGTTTATCAGTCACTGTAGTCGCAGCTGGTGCCCAGCAAGATATTTGGACTGTATGGTGACCAGGACTTGAAGGAATATTACAAGAACCATAGCCGACTATCCATGAGCGGCCTATGGAATCTAGACAACTAACTTGCAAAATCAACTTTGGCCACCCTGTAAATTACACTTAAATGTTATTAACATTTGGTTTTACTGTCGATAACAATTTATTATTATAATATTGTTACCTTGAATGCCTTTACTGACATAATGTAAATCAAATGGATGAGACCACTCAACTATTCTATTATGATTAGCTTTACCCGAGGCAGTCTGACCCTCTGTATAACCAGCGACAAGAGTCCAATTTGGACCTGACAAGGAAATGGGATTACGTAATTGTCGCAAAATGTTTTTAAATAATATGCCAACTAATTAATTTTTAAATAATATAAATTAACAAATTATTACTTACCAGATTGAAATGAATAACGACAGAATAATGAATAAGACTCACTAAAATTATAAGCACAGCGTAACTGACCTAAAATATGTAATTCTGCCATTAGAAAATAACAATTGCATTATACAGAATTTCTGTTTGCTTATTATTCGTAACCATGGTAACGCCAAAAACCATGTCATAACGGACAACACTTGCTGTCAAATTTAAAATATGAAGGCGCGCTTGGTGCCGAGTGCGCCATCTGGTTGTTTCTGCTAATTCCTAATATTAAATATAGTGTGAACCAACCGGTTTGAACAGCGCACACTACTGATGCGAAGCGTCTGCTGCAGAACGGTTCAAATAGCAAGCCTAAAGCGTTTAAATTAGAGAATTTTCGACTGTTCGAGAAATAAGAAAATATGATAAGATTCGTGCTGTCCCCGTGCACGACAAATATATTAACTTTATTTTATAATAAAAAATACTACTACAAAAACAAAAAAAAACTACAAAAATATAAATTGACTACAATTAATAGACAATTTTTCGGCCGTGTATATTGAAAATTATGAATAACTATTATTATTTCAGTTCCTAGAAATTTTAGAGCAGTGAGCCGATAGTAACATAAAAAAGCGCTTTGAGGATTCCGTGCTATAAGTTATTACGAGTATTACTTTACAATACTAGTTGTATTGTCTCATGTCTGCAAAAATAAATTTGTATTTAATAATATTTTTTAAAGATACTATAGAGAATAAAGTTCACAGATCTTAATGAAAACATCCAATATCTCTAAAAGTAGGTACTTGATGTACCTTTAAAATAATTTTCATTGTATTTTACAGAAAATAATTTACGACATAAGGTTCCGTAGCTATAAGGCATAAACCCTCATAATTTTATCTTGTAAAATGTCATACCTGCCGGATCTAAATAATCCAGAAAATAAGCTTTTACTTATTGGCATTAGCAGGAACAAAGAAAAAGTTAGTTCAAATATATGTCAATAGATGGCAATGTGTATATCGTTATTGTAGTTTCTGTAAAATTAAAGAAAATTTAAAAAAATAGATTCCAAAATGGTATACAGTAGAAACTCGATTATCCAGACTAATTGTTGTCGGTAGGCATTCGGATAATCGAATGGATGAAAAAAAAACGATTTTCGTACATATTACGTAACGCATACCTAATGTTGGTGTTTAATTAAAATCAACTAAAGACAAATCAACATTTATTTTATCTTTAAACGATAACTTCGATAACTTACGCTTTGACATTTTTAAGCACAAACGTGACAAGTAACCATTGGTAACTATAATTTAAACAAAAACGCGGCGACAGCGAACGCGCAGGGCGAAGGTGGGTACGTCTCCATGGATAGTCCGGATAATCGCGAATTCGTATAACTGAGGGCCGGATAATCGAGTTTCTACTGTATTATGATGTACAAAATGTTTAAGGGATAAAAATAAATATAAAAAGAAAACATTACATCATTATTTACACAATTTTACTAAATATTGAAAAATAACTTATTTTTCAATTCGCTAATTTTAAATAAGCAATCAAGTAATAGGTTTGCTGTGCCTATTTACACATAGTTGTTTATCACGGTTAAAAACTATTAATTTGATATTACATTCTCGGTCACACTTAAAAAAAAAGTACTACAATTTGCGGATAACGACATCTATTCTCTTATTATTTCTATTCAAGCAATAAATGGCCCGAATAATAGAAAGAATTAGTGCCGTCTAATTTCTCTTGTCTTAATCTTATATCAGTGACACGGATAGATTTATTTTATAACTAGCGACATACATATCCTTGCCTCGCTGGTTTGTCTCTAGATGCCAAACAAAGCAATGTATTACTCCCGAGACGGGACTCGGGAGTAAAGAGTAACACATGGCTATTAAGTACTATATAAGCTATATAAAGGCCGGGGCCTTTCTAGTCTATCTGCATACCAAATTTCATTAAAATCCATCCAGCATTTTCAGCGGTAAAGGTCACAGTCAAACAAATTTTCGCATTTATTGATAGTAGTAGTAGTAGCATACTATCGATGAACATATTTTTGTGCTTATACTAAAACGAAACGGATACTTTATAAATAAAACTACTAAATAAAAATATTATTATTTTTAATAAAAATAATATATCATTAGCTTTTCAGTATCAACACCAATTAGAACAAAAATTACAACATTTAGGAATGATTGAATAATGCAAATAAAACACTTCAACATTATCTTCTTAAGCTTTCTATAAAAAGTAAATTAAGTATCGTCATTACAAACAGATACCTCAAGATACGATAACAATGAATCGATTATTGTAAAAATATATACAAATAATTATAGAACGGCACATATAATTTATTTAACTTAACATTTGCTTAAATTATTGTAGTAAAGTAGCAAGCTCAGATAGCTCCATTAGTAAAGAGTAATTGGATATAAAAATAGTGGTGTTTATGCGAATTCAATATTAATTAATTTAAAAATATATACTTTACATATTACTTACATTAAAAAAATAATAGCTGTTAGGTACTGCTATCGATAATATAATTATATTGTTTTTTAATTATATTATTTTTTTAAATTATAATTATATTATTATTACTGCTATCAATAATATAAGTATAACTGTAATTTTTTAAAAGTGCTTTTACTAATGGAAAACATTGATAATAATTATATCAAGTATCTATAAGCTTAACTTTTACAAATAAAACAATGTTCTAACTATTCAATTAAGGTACTCTAATTCACAATATCTAAGTCACAATCGGTGTATCGTACGTTTGGCACTCTTATTCACAGTTGATGTTTAGATGTGATGGCACAATTAGTGTACATATTGTAATACGCAGTAGATGCTATGGCACAACACTGTATAACAGGTGTGGCGTGCAGGGCTGCCAGATAACAGTCGTTGATTCACCCGGCCAATAAACCTCAAAATCCCCGGTTTATCCCGCCGGCGCTAACCATGAGCAGAACACTCGAAAATAGTTTTTTTTAAGTAATTTATTCATGTTTTGTATAGAATAAAAGAAAGTACTAATGTTAGAAAAACGAAGTAATTTTTTTTTATATTTATTATAAGGGATTTATTTCAAAAATATGCCAGCCCTATCATACCTTAATCTACATAGTTACATAAACCGGACCTTAACAAAATTATATACCATTTTGGCCTCCTCAGAAGTAGGAAAGGACAAAATGGTATTAAAATTACCTACATCGAAAATATTTAGATTCAATGATTTAATTAGGTTTTTCCTTTGTTGGTCGTACCGGACACATTCTATTAATAAATGATAAACATCTTCATATACTCCACATACATCACAGTTTGGTGAGGGTGATTTTTTCATAAGAAATAAAAAATTATTTAATGGCATATGTCCGGAACGCAATCTATGTGCTATTTTAATTAAAGTTCTATTACTAGAAATCATATCAAACCAGGGAGCACGAGGAGGCTGACATTGCAAAGTTCTGTAACAGATTCCTTTTTCTCTGGAGCGCTCATCGAAATATTCTTTCCACATATTATATATTTTATTTTTTTGTGATATTGAAACTTCAGAATAATTTGGAATAATATATACTGCCTTTTGTAAATCCAGCTCGAGATAGTTGGTCAGCCTCCTCATTTCCCTCTAAACCTATATGCGATGGGACCCATTGCCACTTCAGATCCATATCTTACTGTATTGCTCAATTTATCTTATCTAGAATAGCATAAGCTACCGGATCACCTCTTAAGCCAGAGGCGCACCGAGCTAAATACTGCAATGCACTTTTGCTGTCAGTAAAAATGACAATTCTACGATATTTTTTTGTAACTGCATAAGATATAGCTTCTGAAATAGCAAATAATTCCACCGACATAATACAAATATTTGTTAATGTTATATTATATATGCTACTACTTTTACAACTTTGATCATAAAAGGCAGCTCCTACCATTGTCTCTGATTTGGCTCCATCTGTATATATTTTAATCGAATTACTATATTTATAATTTATTTCTTGTAAAACGTTAGCTTTAAGTAGATTGATTTCATATAAGTTCTTTGCCTTATCAATACATTCCAAATTAGTATAAATGGTTCTATATATATATATCTATATTTGTTAACCATGTATTCATGGTGAACATTTTCAAAGTGCTGGATGAAAAGCAAAGGTTTCTTTTTAGAACGCCAAAAAGGTTTTGCACTAATGTAGTAATTTAGTTCATCAAATAATTTACTTGTTATATTGTTTGACCAAGTTCGTAATTTACAACAGAATTTCACAGCCAAGTAATATCTTCTTAAGTATAAAGATGGAATGCAAAGTTCATACTCCATTACATGAATAGGTGTAGATTTAATAAATCCTCCAATTAACCGCAAAGTTTGATTTTGAATAATTTCTAATTTACTTAGGTGTGTTTTTGCACTATTATCATAGAAAAAACAACCGTAATCAATTTTACTTCTTATTAGACATATATATAATTTTATTAAAGATTTTGGGTGAATTCCCCACGACGGTCCAAAGAAATCATTGTAATCAGTTCTCAATTAAACAGCCTTGAATTATTAAAACAATCATAAAAATAACTTAAAATATCAAATTAATCAGCTAAACTAAAATACCTGCTTTCTACTAAAATACCCGTCAAAAATACCCACAATAAAAATCGCCTAAAATAACCCGGTGTTCGGGTAATTAACCAGGCAATTGGCATCGCTGGTGGTGTGTGCGGTGTGGTGCGGTGTGTTCACATGTAGGGCTGCCAGCCGGGGAAGAGGCGCGCGAGGTTGGCGGGCGCGGCGGCGGCGCGCAGCAGCTGCGCCACGTGGCCGGGCACGGACACGCGCGCGCCGCACAGCTTGCCGCCCACCGCCCGCAGCGCGCGCGCCGCCAGCCCCCCCTCTCCGCCGCCGCCACCGCCTGCTCGTGGACATTCTTCATTCGTTAGACATTCATCCGAATTAATTAATGACTATTTGTTAATGCATCGACATTTCATTTATATCATTTTTTAATTAAGAATTTAAGTTACAAGCATACAAAAATGTGGTATGAACTTTCGTAGGTACTTAATAAGAGAGTCGAATGTTTGGTAACCTAATAAAAAAATGTATGACCAAAGTCCTATACTATAAATATTTCGACGTATGGAAGCATCGATTTATAAGGCTTAGTAGGATTTAAACTAAAACAACGGTATTTTTATAAAATATCAGAATCAACACAGAAAAAAAAAGATTCCGACGAACTGAGAACCTCCTCCTTTTTGGAAGTCAGTTAAAAGTTCACTAAATTAATGACTCACGTGAAGTGTTTGCATTTGGCGTTGTAGGTACTGTCCATAAGTACAAAGGATCACATAATAGAACTTCTAGAATAGTAAGCAGTGTTTCTTGATTATCTCGTAGCAATTGCAGAGTTTTTTCACAGCACCTGTCAAACAATATTGAGAATAATTACAAATACGATTAATATACTTAAATAAGATCTTCAACACCTTCGAGCAACGAAGTAACTCTTCTACCATAACAATTAATATTCCTTGCAAATATCAATATTGTAAAATAAAGATTTTACAAAGAAATTTATCAGGCATGTTAAAATATGACTTAATATATACTCTTTAAAATATTGTTAAAGACTGTAATGACTTAATAATTCACCTTCTAAAACTTCCCTCAACACCATTCGACCCAAAACCTGCTATGATGTCTTGAGTCAACCGGAAAGGTATAGTCTCTGGTGTTGGCAAAGTTTTCCCCTGATCAAAAGCTATACCTAAAATGAAAAAACCAAGTATTTTAACCTTATATAAATTCAGTAAACCTGTAAATATTATGCAACAATTAAGAATGTTTTTATTATAAGGATAGAAAGTCATAGATAATGCTAATAAGAATATTTACCAAAGTCAATGTGTATCACTTCAGCTGTTGTTTTATCTATTAAAATATTGTAAACATGTCTATCGCCGATACCCAAAATGTATCCCACCATTGACGAGGCAGCCACACTGAAAAAATATCTCTTAAAGTATATTTTTAATACTTATAGTGCTATTTATTAAAAAAAAGTTTTATTTATAACAATATCTGCTTTATCATTTTTATAAAAACTTTTATCCGTGATCCGGGCGTGTATTTTCAGATTGTTTTAGTTGTATTTTTTGGTGTATGATTTATTAATAAAAAACTAACACCAGCAGCAGCAGAAAATACGCTGCGAAATAAATAATTACATAAATACCTGGTTGGAATGGAAGAAACAAAATAATTATAACTAACGTTTTATATTACCTTTTAGTGTACGCGAGCCTGCGCTCGTACCACGTGACGGGGTCGAGGTAGTGCTCAGTGAAGAAATAATGGAACACAGGCTTGAATACTTTCAGTATCTCTTTAAACACTTCCAGTTTATGTTTATTTGATTTTCTACTGTCGTGACAGGCCTTGAGTTTATTGCGAGCGGCTGTAGGCGTAATATCCTGTTTCAAAATAAAAACATTGAGAAAGAAACTTAAATAAATTAGGCTAAATTTCAACTCATCTAATTTTACTTTATGATACAAGTTCTCGTGTGAGGAACAAAAAAATAGTAGCCATCTTTACAAAAACATTTTTTAGGGATCCATACCCAAAGGGTAAAATGGAACCCTATTACTAAGACTCCGCTGTCCGTTCGTCTGTCTGTCTATCCGCCTGTCACCAGGTTTTATCTCATGAACTGTGATAGTTTGACAGTTGAAATTTTCACATATGATGTATTTCAGTCGCCGCTATAACAAAAAATACTAACAAACAGAATAAAATAAATATTTAAGGGGGCTCCCATACAACAAACGTGATTTTTTTGCTCGTTTTTGCTCGATATTGATAACGGCAACAGGTAGACGCTTGAAATATTCACAGAATATTTAGTTATATATTCACTTTAAAAATAAATAATTAAATTAAAATAAAACAAATATTTAAGGGGGGCTCCCATACAACAGACATGATTTTTTGCCGTTTTTGTAACGGTATGGAAATCTTCGTGCACGAGTCCGACTCGCAGCTGGCCGGTTTTCTCAACATTATACGATTCGCCGTTCAAAATGAGTTGGGCGCCCTGCCGGCACGTGGGCCGAGCGAGAGAGGGCGAGAGAGAGCTAACCTCGGGGCGGTACTTGGCGTGCGCCGCGACGAGGTAGGCGCCCAGCGGCACCGTGCCCGCGCACCACTGCAGCACGCCCGCGCGCCGCGACAGCGGCACCACCTGCCGGCATATATATGAATGTCATATATTTATAAAATCATTTACATTTAACATCATCAAAATATACATTTAGAAAAAAGTGATGATGTGCTCTCCTAGCCGATTCCGGCCACGGCGGCCAATCTCATCGAGACTAGCCAACTGAGCAGATTTTATAGTGCACAAGTGTACGCGCAGACACAACGTGCACTCTCTATTCCTGTCATTCTCATATTCTGGTGGGACGACCACTCGACACGACCGGTGAGAGTGTCAGCGCAGGACCGACGGCTTTACGTGCTCTCCGAGGCACGGGGGTGAAACACCGCTAACTTCCCAACTCCGGGCTGTCACTGAAACTTACTATACAGAAAGACTTAGTAACTAAACTTGGCCCGACCCGGGACTCGAACCCAGGACCGAGGCAGTTAGAAAGAAGTATAAACCAAGGGAAAAAATAATAATGCGTGAAACCTTTACGAACGGTTGAAATAAAACTTCTTTGGCGCTGTGGCAGATACCGCTACGCTCTGTCCGCACTGCGATATTTCACCGCACAATTTTTTCCTCGTAAACTTATTATAGTACATTAGATTGGACACTTTTTTCGATTCTTTTATAATTATTTTACCTGTCAATGTTGTCTAAAATATATCTAACAATAAATACATATTGTGAATAATAATAAGTTTTATTTTAACTTAAATATCAACAAAAACAAATCTAAATATAATATTTTTTTCTATCTATATAATATTATATAATAAAATTGTAACTAAGCCGAATCTGTACATTAAATATTTTTTGGAAAATTTTATTGAAATAAACATCATTATCGATACAGAGGCTGAATCTATAGTTTTTAGAATTTTTGACTGTCTTGTCTGTTTGTCTGTTACCGCATCACAGAAAAACCACTGGAGGGGTTATGATGAAATTTTGTATAGTGATAGCTGGTTATCCAGGTCAACATAAATTAATTTTTTAGCGCGGGAAAATGTTTCATTTCCAAGAAAAAATACAAAAACTGCAATGTAAGAATATACTAATATATAAAGCCTAAGATTTTTGGTTCTGGTCGTCTAAACGCGGGCGGAGCCGCGGGCAATGCTAGTTAGTAATAAATATTCATTTTTATGAAAAAAAATTATTATATAAATATAATTTATTTTTTTAATTATTAATAATAAATTTGACTCCCTCACTCATTTTTCTAATGTATTGACTTACCTAAAGGAGTTTTACTTCAAAAAATTATAATTAGAGATTGGTGCTAAATTAACCATTACTTATATGAAAAAAATTATAAAATGTTTGCAATAACCTTATATGTGCGAATTAAGAGTTTGTTCCTTCTCGTGATAGGATTTTTCTCCAGTAAAGTATTTACTATGTTGAACACCTGCTGCATCACAGCATCTTGTCTCATATCATCTTTGCCCTAATAAGAAAACATAATATTTTTTGTAATATTATATTGTAAATGTAAAAAATTTTAAGTTTGTGTTTACATTATTTGAGTAATAGCTTCTTCACTTTGTAACGGATTGTGGTATGGTATATTCGAGCTGGTTTTCGCAACTCGACGACTTTGCGCCTATTTTGCGTGAACGATTTGTGTAACACATAAGACTACTTGTTATCGGCGTATCTATCACTTTGATACAATATATAGACATACATATAATATAACCTTATATATAATAATGAAGGTAATATATTCATATTACCTTTATGAGAAGAATTCTTTTCTTGCCGTCGGAACTCATACAAGATATCTTCTTCGGATAATTTACGCCGCCCACTAGCTCAAAGTAATTTTCAAAGGATTTCAATGCTGAAAAAAAAGTGCCAAAAAATTAAACTTTAAAGATATAATAATTCATGCTTTAGAAATAATAAATATATTAATCCATAAATTAATTTTAAAGTAGCGAACATGATAATCTACAATAATATATGAAAATCTTACTGCTCAAATGAGAGTAGTCGCAGTCTTTACGTATAGCGACGGTGTCGGTGGGGACGGGGATCGCGTTCAGGTCGCGGAGCCTCGATATGGCCTCGCTCTTGGGCACCGCTTGCGGCTTCAGATCCTTCGACTTCGGCACGCAATAAGCAAAACTTATAGTTGCTGGAAATATTTAAAAACATGAACTAAGTGATGAGTTATCTCTGTGATCTAGTGGCTAGTATATACGGCTGCAGACCCGGAGATCCTTGGTTTGAGTCCTGGGTCGGGATAACGTTATATATTGATTATTTCTGTCAAGATATTTTCAATAACAGCCCAGAGTTGGGAAGTTGGTGGTGTTTCATATCCGCGCTTTAGATTGCACACAAAAAGATCAGTCCTGTTCTATCACTGGTCGTGTCGAATTGTCGTCTCTTCGGAGTATGAGAGTGACAGGGATTCTGCATTCCTGTCACTCTTGCACTTGTATGCGTACACTTGCGCACTATAATATATCTTGCACAGTGTTATATAGTCTTGTTAGATTGACCATCATCGCCGAAACCGGTCAGAAGTAGGTACATAATATTTAACTAGTTAATCTAGAAGAATTCCACTATATTTTCTGTTTAACCATGAGAACAGTTCGAAGACGCAAAATTATTATAACGCGATCCGGGTATATCATAATATGTGAACATATTAAGTTTCATATCTACGATTAAAAACTCATTACCATATTTATTTAGCAAACTAGCTATTAACAGTGAAGATAATAAATGCGTTTTAATACCATCACATATAAGATCCATCTGGTGCACGAGCGTGGCGAGCGGCGCGCGCTCGGCCAGGCGGCGCAGCGCGGCGGCGGCGGCGCGCACGCGGGGCTCCGCCCCCGCGCCCGCGCCGCCCTCGCCCTTGTCCGAGTTCTTGAGGCTGAAGAGGATCGGCAGCGTGTGGTGCGGGTGCTCCGACGCGCATCTCACTATATTGTTCATTTGATTGTTATTATTTTATTTAAATACTATCGACATATTACATTCCTAGTTGCTCAATATCATCCTATGTGTCACTATCGGTAATATCTAGCTGTGTACTAAATATGCAGCTCGTCCAACTTTTTTTTGAAAGCATGGAGCAGTAAACATGTGTTTGTTACTATATTAAACGCTATTTGTTACTATATTAAACGCACGCACGCGCGCACACATACACTAGCACTCGCATATATGCGTACGTGTATTATATACATATACAACACGCACACACATTCGCACTTAACAATGTAGTCCAATTGTTTAAACTCTTGGTATATGTGAAAAGAATAAAAACAAAAAAATAAATAATATGTCATTCTTACAGCAGATACGATATCCTTCAAATGATAATCGTAAACTTGTACACAAAAATTAAAAGATATATTTCAATTATAAAATAAATTATCAGATACATCTAAGTATTTAGACCTAATGGGGAACGTGACATTGCAACTGTTATTATTATTTTTATTATTGTTTAAAATATCTTTATTTATATTGTATGTGACATTTTATTTGGAAATTTATAATTATAATTGTTTTCTTTTTCTGTTTAATAATTTAAGTTTATAGTTTAACCCACATGATCACTTAAAACCTTAATCAATAATATAGTTATGAAGTGCAATTAACATTTTAAGTGTAGTGTTTAGATAACATGTGTTAGCCATTGTAACTTTTGTTGGTAATTCAATAAATAAATAATATTTACACTAAATAATAGTATAGAACATACTCATGATATTCCGCAAGTGTTCAGCAAATGTGGTGCTATCGTTGGAGAGGCGCGGCGCGAGCTGCGGCAACACTGCGATAAACTTCCACGACGGTATTGCGTGAAGAAGCTCACTGAAATCGAATTCTTCGTCTTCAAAGTCAAAATCAATATTGTCTAACCACAGAGATATGACTCTGAATATCGACAGGTCGTTTTCGTCACTCTGTTTCAGCGACAGAAGGTAATATCTGAAATAAAACAGTATAACAATAATATTTACACACAAAGAAATTTACTTTACAAATCATATCATAAGTAAAATATTTAAAACACACAAATTGAAAATCAATACCTCATAGCCAATTTTAAAAAGTTTTCTTTTTCAGCTCTAGTGCTAGCTATTTCTGCTTCATCCAATTCTCCAAAGGCGTAATTAACTCTGTATTTGACTCGCAAGTAGGCTCTGTCCTCGTCTCTACCGAATAATTTAACAGTTATAGTAAAAAGAATATCTGGCATATGTTTTTCAATTTATTTTTAATATACTATTATCATAACAGATTTACTATTTACTAGCGCCTCAACCTCACTTCTATTCGGGTTCGTTCCTAGACAAAAATCTATCCCACGGGAACCGCACATTTTTCCGGGATAAAAAGTAACCTATGCTATTCCAGACTATAGTCTATCTCTGTGCCAAATTTCATCCAGATCTGTTCAGCCATGCCGGCGTGAAATAGTAACAAACATCCATCCATTCTCACCAACTTTCACATATTATGTAGGTATATCACATACATATATAACATTAGTATGGACATGGGGTTTCATCACGAAGAAAGTAAAAATTAGTTTAAAAATATTATAACAGATGGCGTTGCATGTTTCGTGGTGATACTTTCGTAGAATTTGTGAAATATCATGTACTTTTACAATATGATTTGATTGCTGCTGAAGCTAAATGCGATGCTGTTTGTTATAAGAATTTCTCCAATAATAAAGTACCATCATCTCATCAGACACTTCGTCAACATAATCAAGTTTCAGAAGATATGAACGATACTCTAAATAGTTAAACACTCACTAGGTAAGTATAAATTTAAATACCTATTGTATATTTTAAATTATATTTAATAAGCTTCTTTACGAGCTACAAAAAAACCGGTAAAGAAATTAGACGTCTATCTAAAACATAAATTAAAAAGAGACTTAGATAACTAATAATACTATTCTACATTGTAAAATCACAGATCATATAACACTATACTAAAGGAATCATACCTACAAAGGCAACAATTTTTTTCTTGGAAACAAAACCAATACCGGCCGGCCGTTATACAAAGATAAAGCTCGTGGCAAACAAAGCTTGTTTTGTAGCACTCAAAGAGAATATTTTAAAAATATAATTTGTAATTGCCGTATTGGCCTTGAGAGGCTTTACATAGATGTACCTACAACATTGCGCAGCGGCAACTTGGGGACTGATACCTTAGCTTTTATCGCCATCTATCATTTAGAGCCTTTACATTTACAACAGAGCTGATAGATGTCGCCTTTTTTCAGTTCTCACTGGCGCCATCTATTATCCATTTTAGGACAAAAAAATAGCCCGCTGAGTAGCCCGGATTAGCGATGTCCAAATATTCGTATGGGACGCATTATCTGTACTAGTATAGTATTATATGATCTGTGGTATGGATATACAGTGTTACAAAAAATTTAAATTAATAATTAGGATACTTAACATTTTACTATGATGAAAAAATAGTTAACTTTGTTTGTTAATTTATTTTGATTGCAGATAAATACCTGGTGACAGTTTGCTGTGAAGTTTTTAAAGACTCTGCAGTGCCTTTCATACTTTCAACGCATTTGACTTTATTTTCAAATACAGAGGATTCCATATACGCTACCACCTTAAAAATAAGAAAAAAACATTGTTTTTCATGCCAAATCTTTCTATACTAAGATTTTCGTTTTCGATTATGTCGTTAATAAAACTGGGTATGGGATATGCATTAAAAATACTGAATGCATACATATGTATATCTTACTAATGTTATAAATTACAATATAAATTGTTGGCAGTGTTTTATGCTTAGCTGTTTCAATAAAATCAAACTTGTAACCATTAGAAAAGTGAACAGTAAACATTTTTGACTCAATTTAGAAAATGGAAGTACTCAATTCAAAGTATACCAAAAATTAGTCGAGAAATATAACACCAAAAATTAGTCGAGAAATATAACATCAAAAAGAAAACCAAAAACAATAACGGAACGCGCCCGTCTACCACAGTTTCAAATTCGTGCGTACGTCAAACAGTTGTCAATCTGTCAAAACAAACATTGGACGAATCTACTATTCAAGTACTAAGTAAAGGCTTAAATTTTGCTGTTGCGCCGACACGCATCCCTTATGAGAATATTATTTGTGCAGTTGAAGATGCTCTGGCCAAAAATACTATGAAATCTGAGGATATGGAGGCCATACGTCAAGATGTTTCATCTTTGTTACGTCGTAGCTCAAGGCCCAAACCTAATCTCAACAAACAACAGTATTTAGCGTTGAAGAACTTACGCAGCAGGTCAGACATTATCATACTACGCGCAGACAAGGGAAATGCCACCGTCGTGATGGATACATCAAATTACAATGAGAAAATTAAACAACTTTTGTCGGATGAAAGTACATATAAAAAGGTCAAAACAGACCCAACCACCACTGTGTTAAATAATACTAAAAAGCTTATTAAGAAACACTCCGATGCATTGAATCTTGATGTCAAAAATCTTGTTCCATCTTGTGCAAAGCCGCCTAAACTGTATGGACTTCCAAAGATACACAAATCTAACGCTCCGCTACGTCCAATTGTGAGTCAAATCGACACACCGACTTATAAATTGGCCCAACTAGTAGCGAAAGTACTCTCAACACTCAGGGGACAAACATCAGCGTTTACAAGGGACTCATACCATTTTGTCAATGAGATAAAACACCTACAACTCATGGACAATGAAACTATGGTCAGTTTTGATGTACAGTCTCTATTCACCAACCTACCAGTAGAGGACTGTGTCAAAATAGTATCAAGAAAGCTACGGGATAATAGTATGCAAGAAGAATACACTGAACTTTTGAAACACTGCCTTACATCTGGCTATCTATTGTGGAATGATGAATTCTACAAGCAAGTGGATGGAGTGGCCATGGGTTCGCCGGTCTCTCCCGTTGTAGCTGACATCTTCATGGAGGCCTTCGAGGAGACCGCCCTAAACACATCACCTGTGACCCCTCGTTTCTACAAGCGGTATGTAGATGACACTTTCACAATATTACCATCTGATAAAATATCTGTATTCTTAGAACATCTTAACTCCATAAACCCTAAAATACAATTTACAATGGAATTGGAGTCTAATAATTCTTTAGCTTTCTTAGATGTATTAGTCATACGTAACCCAGATAACACCTTGAGTCATACTGTGTATCGAAAGAAGACCCATACTGATAGGTACTTGAATGGTGAATCTCACCACCCCCCTTCACAGTTAGCTACCGTGGGAAAATCTTTGTTTCAGAGGGCACGCGGGATCTGTGACGAGCAACACCTGGCCGGAGAACTGCAACATGTCAAGCAAGTTCTGCGAGACAACAAGCTGCAAGTGCCGCGCCTACGTCACAGGGACCTAGTGAAACCAGCCACAGTCGAGCGCGTCCCTGCAGTCCTACCTTACATGAGAGGCGTCACTGACAAGATTGGCTACATTCTAAAGCGAGCTTCAATTAAAACTTACTTCAAGCCGCCAAAGAAAATTAGTCAGTTTCTACCTGTCAAGTGCCACATCCCTCTACAAGATGCAGGAGTTTACAAGCTTGATTGTGATTGTGGGCTCTCTTACATCGGACAAACAAAGAGATCCATTAGAACCCGGGTCAAAGAACACATAGCTGATGTGAAGCACCGTCGCAATACAACATCTGCTGTCTGCAAACACAGTCAGGACCGCCCAAGCCATTATATTCGCTTCGATAGGCCTCAAATCCTGGCGAAAGAAAACCGATATCGCCCTAGAATGATTCGAGAAGCCATAGAAATTAAAAAACATCCTAATTTCAATAGGGAAGATGGCTGGGTACTACCATCGTCATGGGATCCTGTTATTAATATAATAAAATCTAATAATAAATCTAAACATAACAAACAGGTAGATGTAGTAAGTTCTTACTGTGTAGATCAAAATGATAGCATTTCTGATTAATAATATTTTTTCACTTTTTCATTTGTAAATGTATGTAGTAATGTGTTGCTTAATAATTTGTTTTTAAATAATAGCAAATTTAAATTAAAATTATTATTTTTTAATTAATCTTAACTTTTTCAAATTACACATAGATCAATTGTGGCTTAAATAATTAATACTATATTTTATATTTTTCTTATGGTTATAAATATAATAATGGCAACACTAAATATAGATTGCTAATTAATATTTTTAAAATTGTAATAATTATAAAAATAATAGCAAAAATTAAATAAATAATTTTCCATATTCAATTATAATTAAAATTATAAAAATATTTAAAGTTAAAATATTGTAATGTAATTGGTGCAATTTTCATTTTGTTAATTGTGGGTAGGCTGTCTGTAACAACTATCTTTAAGACATGTAACACCTCAGTCTCTCCCGTGACCATGGATGCTGTAAAGCATTCGAAACGTCGGGAAACAAAAATACAAATAAATCCGCGACAAAATCCGAAAAGATAGTTTTATTTAAAATGTCAAATATTCGCGTAAATCTAAGAAAGTATTAAGAAAGTATTATATAAATGTATGGTTTGTGTTACACCATCCGTTTTTGTTCTGAATAGATCTTCTCATCACGATCCCATATTTTAAGAAAAAACCGTGTCTAAGAGTGGAATATTTACATTTAAAATGATTATTAGGTCGGAATACTTTACTAATATTGTTAAGAGGTAAATCATCCCTTGAGGGGGTGAAAATGGGGATGTAAGTTTATATTGGGAAGCAAGCTAGAGACGAAGTCGCTAGTTTCTAATAAAATACATATATTCAGGATACCTGTTTGTATTCGGCATCGGCGAATTTTGCGATGTCGTAATAGACCTTCAGGCGCGTGTCCACGTCGTCGTTACCACTTAAAGCTTCGAGACTCTTCTTCAGATATTCGTGAATATCGCTTGAGCTTTCACGTTTACATTCTGACATCCATAGACCGTATTGCCTTTGAACAAACAGGATCAATATGTTTTAATATATTAAATACCAATTCTAATTTTTTTTCATTATAACATTAAAATCAGTATCGAATAAGGGTTGACATGAATGAACAAGGATCTTAAATTAATATAGGGCTTAATTGTAGGAAAAGAAGTTGCTTTCTAAATAATATCGTCAAAGCTGAACATTTATTAAATATTATTGTGGTAATAATTTATCTTCTTGCAAAAATTTCGAGATTTACATATTTATGAACGGTTTAAATAATAAATATGGATTATTTGGATCTAACGACTCAAGAACTGAAATAGGTCTCATCAAAAACCAATAATAATTAATTAGAAATAGAAAGATAATAGAAATGATTTAATGTATAACAGACATTATACATAGAAATAAATATTTTACCATCCACTACCTTAAGGATATTGCTGTCAGTTTTGGGTCTTCTGATGTTTGTGAAACGACACTACGAAGGAGCGAGAGGGCGATATCCTTGTGGCCTTTGGCCCACGATATCTGACTTTCCAATAGAACAACTTTCATGGACGTTTCATCGGTTTTCACAGCTGCTACGAGCCTTTGAGCCATTTGTATTCTGTTATTTTTAAGCCCTAACTCTAAAAGCAAAGACATATGTTTTATTAATATACAGTAGTATACAATATTATATCCTTAATTATTTATTAGGTTCAAAAATATATATGCATGATACTTATATATGACATGACAGAGAGATTAGAGGTCATGATAGGTAAAACAAACAGGAAAAATTACAAATGAAGTTTTAAATGATCATCTAATCTATAGATATATTTTCTAGCCAATAAATAGTATGTCAGGAATTTTATAGTGACGCTAGACTAAAAACTTCTAAATTAAAATTGAAATAAGTAATCAAAAAATGAATTATAACATAAACTTACCAGCGTATTGCAGTTGTAAATCATTTACACTGGATAAAAATATCGAATCTGTTTTAGCAATATTTTCGAGTAATAAGCTTCTTTGCGATATCAAAGGCTCGAGATGTTTAAAATCGTTAAAAGCGGGGAGGTTATCTACTTTCCACTCTTCGATGAGACTAGACACCGACTTTTTGTCACATCTCACCGAGAAATAATTTTCAATGTCACGGAACAGGTGTAAATATCCGACCACTTTGTACACACTTTGACAATTTTCCATATTTAGATTTTGACAGAACTTCGCCGCCGCCAATTTGGCTCTATTCAAAGAATTTTCAAGTTTAATGACGGTTTCGATAGTCGGCTGAATGTTTATACAGTCTTTGAGACAAGCGTATCTCATAGCTTTTATAATAGACTTCTGTTTAGCTCCTTGTTTAGACTTCGTTTCTAACTCTGTAGTATCGACAAAGTCGCTCCAATCTCCTAAAATGACAAATAAAATAAAATTCTGACAAGTCTACATATAGCGTAAAATTCAAGAAAGAGCTGATGTTGTACACGTAAAACATATTAATTAGAAAAGTGATTGACAATAATTTAAAAAACATATATTGTAAACAAACCACGTTTGCTATACAACTATGAGACTATAAAACCGCGACTTACCTAAATATGAGAGGCAGTCGTACTTGATATCGTCGAGGTCCTCGTTCTCCGGGTAGGAGTGTATGTAGCGCAGCGCAAGGTGGTGCATGCCGGCGCGGTGCAGGCAGGCCACGGCGCCGGCCGCGTGCGAGCGGGACGGCGCGCCCGCGTGCGAGCGGGACAGCGCGATGTCGTGCAGCAGCAGCGCGTCCGCGTACTGCCCCGTGCTCATCAAGTGCTTGCGCTTCTCCTGCTCGCTCGTCAGGTGCTCTATTCCGCATCCGTCCACCGCGTCTATTTCACCGATCGCTACGTAGCTCTATTGCGATGTTATATTTAGGTATTAAACTGTCTTGTTTGTCGAATGGTTAGTATTTACGGATGCCGATCCCGTTCCTAGTTATTGGTTTATCCTATCAATAAATTCTCAGTAACTGAGAACAGGAGACACACAACTACGATCGTCACTCAAGTTGTAGCACAACCGGACCGCACGTCATATTCACAAAAACAAAATACATAATTATCAAAAAGTGTGTAGCTATTTCTAAATTCTCGATTCTACTAATATTTATACAACAATTTTAAAAATATTTCATTTTAATTCTCTTTGACAGACTATAGTTAAATTTTATTGTCATACCTTAATATATTCTTCGATTTATACGAGTATTTGAAAGTTTCAATAAAAAAATCGGTCAATGCCGTGGGACACCTGATAGGAAAGAAGTTCCTTTCGCAGTCTGCCCTTGGCTCATACATTAGTTCATAGACATCGTCACGAGTACCAGGGAAGCATAGACATCGAGCAACGTACATTGTACATGCTGAAACTCATAACAGAAAAGCCTGCACAGACTGCACACGAATTTCTTACAACATACACTCCTCAACACTTATTTTTCACCTGATACTTTTGTCACGAGTACTAGGGGACCACGAACCTTAAGGAGTGCTCATATGTGTGCTCTCCTGATTCTTGTGATGACGTAACATGGGATGATCTCAGTAAATTATAGTGTTGTGCCGATAAAAATATTAACAACTTTATCCGTCTAGCTCTCAATCCCAAGAAACTTCAAAAGAACGTCTCGATTTTAAATATTCTTTAATTATAATTAGAGGAAAAGAATATGTCACATGGAGGGGGAATAATGGTTTTTTTTTACGTGACGTTTTTTACCTGTCAACTCTTACCGCAAGCCGCGTTAAGGAACTTCATTCCAACAATTGTTTCGGCTTTTTTCTTTGCGCTTTCTTTAGATTTTTGGTTACCAAGAATTTAAAAAAATAGTAGTGATTAAACTATCATACCCTCCTAAACACGTCCTGCAGGCGCGCGGGGCCGTGGCGCGCGGCGTGCAGCTCGCCGTAGTACAGCGCGGGCCAGTGCTGCTGCGCCGCAGCCGCCGCGCGCGCCACGCGCGAGTACTCCAGCTGCAGGTGCTGCGTCGCGTTCCAGGGGCGCTTGCGTGCACTGCAACGTTTCATTTTAGTTGTATTTAGTATTAGCGGCTTACCATTTGTCCCTCGCCCCACGGGTGCGCGCCCCTTGATGCCTATTAGTAGCATATGTGTTATTCCAGGTCATAGACTATCTGCGTACTTCTAAATCTGTTCATCTGTTTAACCGTGAAATAAAGACATACATATACCCATACAAAGTTCTGCATTTAAAATAGTATAATTTAAAATAAAACTATTATTTCAGTATTTTTTGTGGCTTGTTTTTTTACTTCTCGATTCCTGATGTTTTGAATACTTTACAGCAAACATCTAAGGTTTTTAACGTCTTGAAAGTTATAACTATTATAGAGACGCAATTAAATTGGAAAAAAATGTTTTTATTTAAAATATCAAATGTTCACATAAATCTAAAACAGTATTGTATTTAATAATCATGAAAACTAATCATACATTTAATTAGACGGTCATTGACGGTAATAAACTAAAATTAAATTATAATTACTGATAAAAAATAACTCAAGTACAAAGAAAGCTTACCTCGTTTTATAGTGAGTAGTTTGCAACCGAACAAAGTCTACAATGCTCAACATATATTCAACGATCATTTTATCATCCATATTCAATTTATGTGATTCTTTTAAAATATTGCTGTCCTCGCTGTTTTCGGAACTTGTATAACTTTTCTCGCATATATATTCAAAAACTTTTTTGATTTGCTCCGAAAATATGTTAAGGTGAATGCTGGTCGAACAAGTAAGTATTAATCCCATTAGAGCTGGCATAATTTTCCAGCAAAATGTTGGCTGAAATCGTATAATATTAAAAATATTTTGTATCAAGTAATTTTAAAAAGAAAATAATTATAATTATAATCTTTAACGACCAGCACACAGCTTTGATAAAAAGCGACGTAGTGCGGATAAAACTATAAACATTGCTTACAAAGACTCATATGCGCTATCCTGCAAAGATAGTTACTAGATGCTATTTGCGGGCTATCATAATATATAAGATCAAATTTAAATAAAAAATCAAAACCTTTACCTTTACGATGCAAACAGAGCGAATATATTTTAAATAATTACTAGAAGAAACAATTAAATCTAATAGGGCCGCTGTTATTCGTGCTATCCATTCCAAGTGACTTTCATTATTGTTAGGAACCCAAAATTCTTCCGCGTTGTAGTTATCAAATTTAGAATTATCAATTTTATATTCAGCGTATATTTGACAGTCAACTGCGGAAAGTGATTGCAGTATTGCTTTGTCGACGCCCGCCATTTCTACAATTATTAAAATCTACATTTAAAGAAAGATAAAATATTGACTAAACTATTTTTGATTACAATAATATAATAAAGACTGCTTTTTTATACTAATTAGTTCTTTTTTCTACTTACAAAAAATATTACAAATTTGTTACCTAATGCTAGTTGACCATCACGGTACTTTAGAAGATCGCTCAGGGCGTGGGTTATTTTCTTGCTAACAATGGGGTCCTCGTCAAATATATGCTTCAGGAGAGACTCTAAAACCAAATTAGCAAAATATTGCTTCGGGCTCAGATCCATTATACTTCTAGTATCCGGCGGCGGAACTGTGACTAGCGTTTTCAAATCGTACGTACAAACTTCTGCTAAACAATTACATGCCTCTATGATTATCTGAAATAAAAATTATATATTATTAGCCAATTTCTAACTTTTCCTTCCCCAAAAAGGAGGAGAGTATTTAAGACCGATATTCTCTTTAAAGAAAACAAATATATATCTTACTTTTTCCTCAGTGCTTGTTTTTAGCAAATTTGTCAAAGTAAAAACGACTTGATGTATTAGGCTCGTTTTGCAATTTTCCGAAAAGCCTTTACTGTCTACATCTGTATACAGCTCCATTACAAATGACTTGTTTTCCTTTAAGAATTGACACATTCTGGTAATGGTACTAAGGCTGAAAGATAACAACATAAGTTATACATTAAAAGGGCTGAATTATATAAAATACTAGCAACTTACCCTCGCTTCGCTCGGGTGAGGTACGTTTCGAACTGATAAAATTAGTTAAATAATAAAGAAATATAATTAAAAATTACAAACTACTATCCAGTTGTTATTTTATTATTAGTTAGGATTTAGTTAAAAATTTCATGGGTTTTAATTTTTTGCGCGGTACCCTAACTCTTTTTGTAAAAAAAAATTTGCTTATGTTACTCCAACATCAGCAGATAGCTGATGTTATAAGGCAGCGAGAGCCGTTTCGGAAATTAACCGGAACAGAAACAGACAAAAAAATTAAAAATTGTGTTTTTTTTCTTATAAGTACCTTATATACCTTCATATACACTTAGTAAAAAGCTGTTACTCTAACATTACAAATACTTCAATTTTATTTATTTGTATAGATTACTACCAACTACTTGATACTTTACTACCAAATATTTGAAAAATAAGTAAACTTACAGTAGCATAATAATTACATGTGATAAAATTACTCCTACTTTGAATACATACCTTGCACTCGACAAACTTAACATATATGCCTTAAGTTTATTAGAAAACTCATACTTTGTAATATTTGTTTCTACATCATGAGTCATTAAATTGATACAATCTATCACATCGATGCTCTCATTTATATCATCTTTCATATCTTTCGTAAGATATTTTAGTAGGGAATCACATTCTTCATAATATCCTTTTTCCATTTTAATATTCAAAACAGAAACGACATTAGAAATGTTTGATTTCTGTACTTTATCAATAGTCTTTGGGGCATGGTTTATTATTTTTGAGATAATTACTCTTAACCCTTCAACAAATATTTGAACTTCTCTTTTGTTTTCGGAATTTTTAATAGCATATGTGAAACTCGCAAACAAAAAGTTACAGTATAATGCATCAGACGAGTATCCTAAGGGAATACTTTCCACAAACGATAAATATGCGTGAAGAGCACATCCTTTAAAATCGAAAACTTTCTCAACCAATACATTATCCCACAGTTTGAAAAGAATATTGAGAATAAGTAATGGTTGGTCCTTGCAAAGGTATGGCATTATATTTTCATCAATCAGTTCCTTAAAAAAAATCATAATTATGTACATATAAATATGTAGGTATTTGTAATTATGTAACATTAATAATAGTATACATAACAATAATATAAAGTAACGATGTAACACTTACTCCAAAATACTTTAGAATTGCAGAAAAAACATGTTTAGAGTATGTGTACGAATCAGCTTCATTTTGCAGATTTAACTTGAAAAGTTTGGAAGCTTCTGGGACATCCCACACCTGCTTTGCCGTTAAATATATCAATTCTCCCAAATTCTCGACGAATAAATTACTCCATTTTTCGTTTTTCAAGATGAGTCTTGTAGACTGAAATATTTTAATTGCACTTTTCGCAATTTTCAAGTGTTGCCTTTCATTCTCCAAATTGTACTTTTCCATTACAACGTAGGGCAGACAGAGCGTTATAATGTTGCAAAAACTGATCTAAAATAAACAATATATTACCACATAATTGAATCATTAATACAAAATATATACATAGCTTTTGATAGTGACATATCACATACCTCTATAATGTCTGCATCTGATTTCTGAGTTTGAACCTTTATACGCTTTATAACACTACTATCCGTCACTACACCGTTGGTTCTCCACAATGCGTCAGTGGAAACTAGCCACTTCATGTGTTTCTCCATAAAATCATCCATATTTTCAAAACCAAATAAGTAAATTGGTAAACTTTCAAACGTTTTGTTTTTGCCAAACCAATAACTGAGTATTCGTAATATATTGTTATTCATATAATCATTGATTGTAGTAGACATTACAGTTTGGGTCAGCATATTCAATACTTTTTTGACTATTTTTTTGTCCATTGATTTTTCATTTTCAAATAAAAGCACTTTGAAAATAAAATCGTGTATGGAGGATGTTTTCGTAGTACCCAATAAATAAAAGCATCGCAAAACTGTAAGAGCTCTGTTCATTGATTCGTCTCTTAGAATTGTTTGGTTTTGATCGGAAACCTAGAAAATAATTTTAAAAAGTCTATATTATTATCAAACAAAAAATTTAAATATATGAACTAGGGTTAGCACTTACATTTATTTTAAATATGTTAGACAAATGATCTGATAAGCTTTTGATATCATCATCACCATAAGTTTCAGCTATAACGGTCAATAGATGACAGGAGTACAGTCGTATACAATGATTATCGCCCACTATGCTACCCGTCAGAGCCTCTGTGAAAAAACTGTGCAAGTCAGCATCCTGCCCTTTATTCAATCTAATTACTTTTGCCACACACTCGTACACTAAGGCAGCAACATCGGGTGGCATTTTTTGACATCTCTGCAAATAGCTCTTTATCATTATAAGACAATTCTGTCGCATTAAATCATCTCCTTGGGACCAAATCGACTCGAGTATACTCAATAATGTTCTAAGAATACCACGAGTTGCTGTTGTACTTCTGAATAGTATTCTACACATATCTTGCATCAAACTGAAAATTGATTCTGAAAATATGATAATGGCAATTATCTTAATATTGATTATGACATATGTATGGAAATAAATAATCGAAGTGTAAGATTCAAAGGAGTAGAAAGCTGTTTTATGTAAATTGCATTTTACCTAAACAAGATCCTTCTACTACTCCATCAATTAGTATAGTAATACATTGAATGGCACAGTCCACTTCAGCACTTATACCGAAATTATATAAGTCGTTGTCAAGAACACGCTTAACAAGCTCGTCAGTATAATCGCTGTGCTTCCTACAATAAGCTGAAATTAAATACATGCAGTTCTGCTTTAAGCCGACTGCGTTAAATTCGACGTCATCCTCATACATATCAGCATCGTCCGAAGTAACATCTTGGCTTATAATTTTATAAATGCAATGGAAGCATTCTTCATTTATGTATTTTCTTGTTACAACATTTAATATATAACTATACTCATTTAGTAATACATTCTGTACGGCTTTTACAAGAGCGATTTTATCTCTCACTTGTATTTCAGATTTTAACGTTTCAGTTAAGGACCTATATATGTTCTTAAAGGCATTGCAGCATACTGTATATAAGGGCATAGCTTTAATTTCATTTATTGTTTTTAAGTGACATTTCAGAAGCGTATCCAAAAATGTTACTATCGCTGTGATGTGTTTCACATAATCAATGCACCTAATATCGTCATTCATTAGGCCATTGGTACAATTAACTAAATTTTGCTCCAAGTAAGCTACTATTATATTATACATATCAGAATTTATTTCAAATAATTCAAACGTATCTTTTGTGCTCAAATTAGAACTTAAAATCTCATATTCAAACTCATTATATAAAATGCTTTTGCCCATATGAAAAAATATCACATTGTAAACATCTGGGTGTTCAGAATTTAGCTTGCATCTAATTTTCGTAGGAAAGTTTTCATTGCATAATAGTCTTATTAGAAATTCGCTGGTTATTTCACAGTTTAACGGTAACAAACTGCTCTGAGTTAACCACGCAAAGTATCTTTTCCTATCTTCTAAATTACATGATTTTCTATAAAATTTGTTGAATAAAATGTTTATTGTCATCAAGCTGTGGTCGTTTACTGGCATTCCCTTATCAATATAAGTTGCAAGCAAAGGCTGTATATTATGATATTTCAATGGTGTTACATTTAAAATAAAATGCATAATTGTGTGTATAGCTTTGTGTGAAGTATTAGCTATGGTTGCATTTCTAAAAACAAAAACAATTAAGTGTAGAAATATTAGCTGCCGACATTTTATGAAACGTTCAATACTATTAAGCTTACAACAATTACCTTACACATACACTCCAAAAAGACGAAAGAGTATTACAATTTTCTTTATACTCTGGATGCGACATAATTTTTTGAATCACAAAGCAAGTAAGATCCTGCATGCAGTCCCAATTTACATGTTTATTGTTGCTTGTAATTACACCTTCTAGGATTGTTAATAGCGATAAATGATCTTCAAACGATATTGAGAAGCTATAATGTTTTACATACATTAGTATAATGCCAATCCTGTAACATACAAATGTTGAAAATCAGTGGTTGCCCAAATGGCTTTATCATGAAAAAGTACCACTAAATGCCAAAAGAACTGCAAGATAAATATATTAATATCTTAGTCCTTTGACCGACTTCAATAATTATTTTCCAACTATTCTGTATCTTTACATGAGTAGGTTACGCGATATCTTTGTAAATAACGAATCTTTTTTTTAATAAATAGATTATATAAATCAAGAGTGGTCCAATATAAATTAAAAAAAGGCCTAACTCTAAGGGTACTATAATTAATTTTAATCGGTTTCGAAGATAACGTCATTTTTTTATTTCCCACATTATTATTTTTTTCCAATGAACCTCGTAGTAAAGTGAAATATTATGACCAATCGACCTACTTTAGTGAAAATTATGACTTCACTCCTCAGCTGCCGGTAATTTAATGCTTTTACGGTTTTTGTTTACACACATTCATAATTTTTTATTGATACTGGCTAAGACATAGCACAGCGATGGGTACCGCCACACTAATCGTGTCTGAATAACTGGCCAATCGTTTGGGATAAAAAATAGTAAATACGCCAACTTTTAATCATTATTCCAAATCAAAATTCTCAATTATAATAAAGAAACAGGGATCTGAGAACTTACCAAGGATCAGAATTGATGCGAAGTTCCTCTAGAAGATCTGAAAATGACTTATTTTTATTGAATGATAGTTTCTGCTTTTTAGCGGAAGTCCCCGCCTCTTCTAATTCTATCGCTCTGTCTACTGAATCAAAAGTCTGTAAGCAAAATTTTCAACAAAGTGGATGTTTTTATCGGCGACATAAAAAGATATTAAAGTAATTTCTCTTTACTATGGTATGGTATGGTATATTCGGGTTTGTTTCCGCAACTCGACGCCTGCGCGCCTATTTTGCGTGCAAAACTCTTCTTATTACTAATCTCGAAATTACTTGCACGCTACCAAACACTAATTAATCTTATACCTAAATGCCATAAGTAAACAACAAAGTGGCAATGATAGAGAGACCCCGATTTTGAGAAAACTTTTTAGTTTGTTTGCGAACATGGGAACAGAAAAGATTTCCAAAAAATAGAAATTTAGTTAAATAATGAAGTTAAACTTTTACACCACGTATATATGACAGGCTGATATATTTTACATAAAAATCAAAGATAAACAGTAATACAGCATTTATATTATCAAGAATATATTTCTATTTACCTGATAAAAAGCTGAAGACGCTACATAGTAAAAGTCTCGGCACTGGAATATAATCTCGTTCTGCTTTCGCATCCTTTGTACACAATTTATCTCCATGCAAACAATTTCTAATATACCTTGCAAAAGCCGCCTCCACGTTTCCCAACAGTTTGCCAAAAAACCTTCCATACTTTTATTACCTCCCAATGGGTGATGTATTGTGATTACCATTCTAAGTAACTTAAACAGCAAAACCTATTAAAAATTTCAGTTGGTTACTCTATATTTCCTACATATATTTATACATGTTTAATATAACATAATCTTATTGTTAATAGGTATAATATAATAGGTAATAAATACCTTCTTTTTGTCCACCATGCTTGCTTCATAAAATTTGAATATTATAGGTAAGAGAGATTCAGTGAACTCGCATATTGTTAAACGGCACTCAACGTAAAGCTAAAAAGTTATATAGAATAAATAATTGATTCCTCTTTCATATCACAACATTTAATGATGGCCAAATTATTTACCGAATCAATCAATAATACAATAATTTCCATAATAAATTCTTGTACTTTTTTATCATTGTATATTTTTAGGAAATATTTTTTTACTCTCGATAACGAATCTCGTAAAGGTATCGCAAATTGGCAGCAGTTGCGAGCATTTTTCACAATAAACAACAGGAGTCTTATTTTTACTAATTCGTCTAATGAGGAATTGTCAGTAAGGCATGCTGATATGCTCACATCCAGTAAACCTTTAAACAAAGAAGTCATATTATAAGACACAATTTGAAGACAATCCAACAGCTAAAAATATTTTGGATATTAATTATTTGTATACAATTAAAGTTATGGTACACACTACACATATTATGCTCATTATATGTATTGCGTTTTCTTTTTTTGGATCAAATGGAGATATTTAACAGCTAACAGAGCCTTTAAAATTTTAAATGAAATTTATTTTGATTCTACGAATTTTCCCTATTTATCTTCTGATATGTCAAGCAGTTTTTTCGATTTGGAATATTTTATTAGGTACCCTCATTGTCTGCTTTTCACTGTATCTGTCACAGTAAAATGTGAAATACCTTTAAATTATAATCCATCGCGAGATTGTAAACTGTCGAAAGATTGTGAACCGTAACATACTGCTTACAATTTAACGCATTATTTTTAGGTAGGTCAAATTGTGAAATGGAAGAATTTAGCTTAGAGTTACAAAATTATTACAGGAGGCATAATGTATGGCATATTTTAATGTTGGGAAATGCACAACTTATATTAAAATTTAGAACATTTTTTTTTTTTTTTAATGTTGGGAAATGCATTTACGCACGACGTGTGGGACTCACCGGCGTCATACAGCCAGTACTACCCACTAAAAGCCAACAAAACCTTCCCCCGTCTTAATGGGGCGTCGCAGGATCGCTTACGCATTCAACTACGACGCCCCGACGGCAGGTCTGCCAAAGCAGACCACCACAACCATGGGGTTGCTCCACAGTCCACTCTGCTATCAGAGAAGTACCAGGAGCAACCCGCATGATACACCGCCCCCCGAAGAGGGCCACCTCCCACCGCCCACCGAAGTGGGCAACCTCCCTGTGCGTTTCTTAGCTTCGCGCCCGGTTAGGTTGCCGGGCACTACTGAGCCCCCCCACCACGACAAGGTGAACGCACGTTGGGGGGGAGTAATTTAGAACCTACCTGAACTTTTTAATGTTCCGAAATGCATTGACGCATACCACCTGTAGACATACAGGTGGTTATGTGGGACTCACCGGCTAGAAAAGCCAGTACTACCCACTAAAACCCAACAAAACCTGCCCCCGTCTTAATGGGGCGTCGCACTCAACTACGACGCCCCGACGGCAGGTCTGCCGAAGCAGACCACAACAAGGATTCACAATCTTTCGCCAGTTTACAATCTCTCTAGATATATTATAATCTAACGGTGATATTGATGTTCTCCTAGCCGATTCCGGCCACGGCGGCCAATCTCATTGAGAATAGCCAACTGCGCAGGAGATATAGTGCACAAGTGTACGCGAAGACACAACGTGCACTCTCTATTCCTGTCACTCTTATTACTCCGGTGGGACGACTGCTCGACACGGCCAGTGAGAGTTAAGGCGCAGGACCGACGGCTTTACGTGCTCTCCGAGGCACGGGGGTGAAACACCGCCAACTTCCCAACTCCGGGCTGTTACTGAGACTTACTATACAGAAAGACTCAATAACTAAACTTGGCCCGACCCGGGACTCGAACCCAGGACCTCCGAGTGTGCAGCCGTACATGCTAGCCACTACACCACCGAGGCAGTCAATCTAACGGTATTTATACTTTTACAGTGATATATCTACAGAAACATGAGTAACATTTAATTTTGCGATCGATAAAATGAGTATTGCAGCAAGGGAACCTCTGTATCGAATCCGACTCGCACTTATCCGATTTTCTTTTTTAAAATACTAGAAAAGATCATTATTTTTATTTAGTTGTAGATAATATTGGTTGTCTCACTAATGGTTGAACACTTCATAAATTTACATAATCATATCATTTTCACTTAATTTGTAAATAGTCCATTGTAAACATTAAATAAATAATTTAAGTAATAGGTACTTATAAATTACTATTAAGTAATAGCTTAATTAAATATAAATATAAAACATAATTATAGCACATATGACATAATACTATTTAATTGTAAAATTAAAGTTTAAAAAATTGTAGTGCTAGTGGGCTAATTTTATAGTAGATGATAGATGGTATTGATGTACAAACTGTCAAACTATTTTATACCCTATTAATCTAATTACTGCTATAATGTCTTAAAAATAAAAATATTTAATAATTTAAATTTCATCTCCATCTCTTTTGCCATACCACCCTTATTGATGTACTGTAAATTTAAATGCATTATATCTTACTGTCCCATGTAGATGGTGTTATGTAGCCTAAATAATAGTCATATGGTAGAACATGTTTATATAATAAGATTAAATAGGCATCTCCAATTGCCTTTCTTAGACGACTATCATTTAATATATTCAAAGAAGCTTCAGTTATCCTTTCACATTTTATATATGCACGGCCTGAAATAAATCATAAAAATTATTGGACTTTTTATTATAAACTAGCAACTCACCCTTGCTCTGCTCGGGTTGGGTATGTTTTGACAATTAGTTTAGATTTCTCAGAGATGAGATATTGTCCCACAATAAAAAGTATCCGATATGTCGACCCGGATAACCACCTATAATCATAACAAATTTCAGCAAAATTTTTCTAGTGGTTTTCTCAAGATGCGTTCCCAGACAGGCAGACAAACAAAATTCTAAAACTATAGATTCGGCCTCTATATCGATAATAATGACTATTTCAATAAGATTTTCCAAAAAAATTTTAATGTTCAAATTCAATTAAGTTAGAATTTTATTGCATACTAGCATTGCCCGCGGCTCCGCCCGCGTTCAGATGACAAAAAAGAAAATTCTTAGGTTTTACACATTTAGTATACTCTTACATTACAGTTTTTGTATTTTTTCTCAGAAATGAGACATTTTCCCGCGGTAAAAATTATCCTATATTTTAACCCAGATAACCAGTTATCATCGTACCAAATTTCATAATAATCCCTCCAGTGGTTTTTCTGTGATGCGGTAACAAACAGACAGACAGACAAAAATTCTAAAAACTATAGATTCGGCCTCTGTATCGATAATAATGTTTATTTCAATAAGATTTTCCAAAATATATTTAATTAAAAAATTTGTTAACAAGCGCAACAACAAGTGTGTTATGAATAATATAATAAGATAAAATTACCTTTGTTAGCACCAGCTACACACAAGTGTAAGAGACTTGTACAAAGAGGTGCAGTAACAGTATGAAAAGTTTTCGCTGTTTCATATTTTTCTGTTTCCTTAAAAAAAGCTTACATTAAAATTTACGTATTATCATATACTAGCAGCTTGTCCTGGCTTCATATTATAATTTTTTAACTGACATTTTCTTTAACTATTACACCCACATACTAAACATCCCACTCTGACATGTACCTAGTCAGAGAAACCTATTCTGTATTCTGGTCCCCCAGTTCCCTATTGATGACTTTGGCCTAATATACCTAATTTTAGTATGTATTATATACTAGCGGCTCACCCTCGCTTCATTCGGGTTCGCACACAAGGCAATACAGCAAAAGCAGATCTATCCCATGGGAACCTTCATTTTTTAGGGATTGAAAGTAACCTGTTGTTTGACCGGCAATATAAGGTATAAGTATGCCAAATTTTATTAAATTAGGTGCATAAGTTACTGTATAAGTTACTATAGCTTTTAAAATATCCCACAGGAACTCTTTAATTTTCTGGAATGAAAAGTATCTAAAATGTTGACCAGGGATATAAGGGACCACCATGCAAAATTTCATTTAAAACGGTGCAACAGTTTCGGAGATTAGCCCGTACAAACAGACAGAGAAACAAAAAATTTGAAAAAAAAACTGGATTTGTTCTATTTCTCTTCTCACATCCCCCTGACTCGGTTTTTAGCATTTTTTTTCTATGTATAGACATTCGACCTCTACAGTTTTATTATATGTATAGGAAATATTTACCACATTAACATACTTTTTTACATTTATTATCATAAACTAATGAATTAAATGAAATTATTATACAAATTACCTTCATTATATAATCATTAATATCATTGAAAAGATGATTCCATGTGTATCCTGACTTTTTTAAAGTATTATTAGTAAGAAATGAAGGCCCAGCATTTCTATTAAGAAATTCTTTTAAAGATTCTGCATTTTTTTTTCTTTCGGTTGCACGTACAGATATTAAGCCCGAGCATAGTCCTCGTAGTAATTCTTCTGTCATGATATGTGGAGACAATATTTCAAAATCTAATAACTGTTAAGAAAAAACAATATTATTTAATTACCAGTATGAAGTTTACTTTCCTATATATCTATAATATTATTGCTCCATTAGTTTAAGTAGGTATCTATTTCTACATAAATCAATTAATAGATATCAAGATGAGATGTATTTTTAAATAACAATTATTAATTACATGATTTCAAATGACAATGAGATTTTTGACATCAAGTTATCAAATACTGATTTTTCAAATGATTTTAAAGTGAAACATAACCAGCTGATAGAAGTCAAAAAAATGAACTAGGATATTTTAAGACGTAGCGAATGTAAATGTATGATATATTTCATGCTAAGAATAGCTTTTATTACATGATTGATAAATAAACCTACAATTCAAAGTACTTAATTAATACAAAAGTTTTTTTGTACATTTTTAACCACTTTAATACAATAGATAATTACTTCTTTTTTATCTAAAATATATTAAAAAGTTAGCATTTCAAAAGTATTTAACACATTTAATAGTCACTAAAATTACTAAATATTATTAAAATAATGAATTTTTAGTATAATGTCTGTTTGCATTGGAATAATTTTTGTTATTATTTAATCATTAATTTTTATTTACCTAAGATCACGTTTATGATTGTGTAAAAAATTTATAAATTTATTCTTCTCATTGAAATAACTTTTTCCATCATTATTGACCAACGGACGGAAAAAATTTAAATGTCAATTGAAATTTGAAAATTTAAAATTGATTGATCATTGACATTGTCAAATCACAAATGTCAAATTGTCATCCATGGTCCATGGACCATGATCGTCAGTTATACAATATTGTAGACGTCAACTATGAAAGTGCCGCAGATAATATATGAGAAAAATACGTACCTACTCAGGGCGTTTTCCAATTTCGCACTAAAACGCATTATGCGGTATAATACTCAATTTTGAATTTTTTAATTACACTAACCTTAGAGTATACATAAGCTATAGAGCACGCGCTAGCAAGTATGAACTGTAAGCACGGGTTACGGGTATGAACAGTCTCGAAATGTCAAGGGCGACGCTATTAGTCACGAAAAGTCAATCGCGCTGACTGTTTTCTCGTAGGTATTTATTTAAATTTATGTAATCATGGTGAAATGTACAGTTCCAAGCTATAAAAATGATTCACGAAAGCAAACTAAAACGAATAAACATATTTCTTTTCATCGGTAAATAATATTTTAATCAGAAAACGCTGATTTTAACAAAATTACACAGGCGTGAGCGTGTGTTGCGGGAGGCGCGTGGGCAGGTCGACACAACACGTGCTTCCGCGCCCCCCGCTTCTTACTTTCCCTTATTAAGAGCTAGTGCTGTACCACGTTGCACTACTCGAATATTTTGTATAACCATAGTAATATAAATTAAGATCCTTTGTATTTGTCAAAAATAAAACCTTTAAATTTTAATGGCACCAAAGTACCTTACTTAGTATATCACTTAATTTTAATCTAAACATTTTTATAATTTTAATAAGTTTTATAATTGCAAGGAATATTATTTATTTCATTTTAGCTGTCATTATTATAATTATTACAATTTTTTTAGCAAAATGTATTAGTCATCTTATTTAGTGTTGTCATTATTATATTTATAAATATAAAAAAAAAGAATTATTCAAGCCGCATTATTAAAGAAAAGTTAAAGAGAATGATATACTATAATTTTAATATAGTTTACTATTATTTAAAAAAAATCAAAATATTAAGCAACACTATTACTACATAGATTTGCAAATGAAAGATATTAATTTGAAATACTGTAATTTTTGATAAAAAAGTCTATATGTGTGTGAATAAATGGTATACTCTAAGACACCAACGCTCCGCATAATCGACCACTTTGAAAAGTACTGCTTTGGCGTGACCAACCAACTCAGTATAAGAAAATAAAAGAATTAGTGTTTTTTCTCGTTGTTCGTGTTTATGCGCCGGAGTGCGACAATATGCTCTGTAATTAGAAAACAGGATGTTTTTAATTTTTATTATTCGTCTACACCTATTGTTATGATTCTTGGCCAATCAAACATGACAGTGACAGTCATAGACGTAGAAAATGGACTGAGCAATACTTCCATGAAATTGACCACTCTCTAGAAAGAGAGAAAGCGACCGTGTGGCCAATAGGTACCTGTCTTTTATTCCATTTTATAATTATAAAAGGAATATTGTGATAGAAAAATATGCTTATAAATATATATCTTCATTAATCGTATTTCAATTAATATAGAAGACTTCTCTGGCCGTATATTCGCTTTGTCTCTGTTACGACTAACGCCTTTCCACCATTTTAGCTAACGGAGCATTTCTAGTTTCTATATAGCTTGTGGCTTACAGCTAGCAAAGAAACACTTCACTCCACTATGTCTATAAAACATATAAATTTCTTTTGAAGTTTTCTCATAAAAGTGCTGTGAGTACCTCCGAAGCGGTAATTATTAAAAATCTTTCTATTTCCAAGAGGACTCAAACATACCTGAAGGGTCAGCTAATATACGCATAAATAAAAATATGATGGGAATATTTAAATTTTACGCAATTGTAATGGATCATAAAAAGCTTCTACACAAATAAGGTATATACAATTAACTATTAAGACATAGAAATGTCTGTACGGTTATAGGCTTGTGAAATAAATTTTTAACAGCTGTTAGATATAGTATAATTTAATAAATTAAACAAATTAAGCTTTCAACAAAAGCACCATCACTCCACAAATATTGTATCTCGAGCGCTCGCATACAAAAGACGAACAGAATCACAATAGCCTACACCCTTGCGTAGACTTGTTACTATAACATACGCATCCCCTGCACATATAACTCTTTTTGCTTTGCAATAATCTAGAGCAGAATTTATGCGAGATTCAACTTCTAACATCCAAGTATTTTTTGGCGTTTCAAAATAATGCATTGCTCGGACTCCTCTCCAGAAACGTAACTGTCGAGCCGTATGACAAGATCTCGTTACAGCAACGATAGGACAGTTAGGTTTAGCGTGTGACAGTACTTTCGCTGTACGGCCAGAATTAGTCAGGCAAATTATAACAACAGCTCGAGATCTCATTGCTAATTCTACTGCGCTTACGCATACTGCTTTTGTTGGTTCTTCAAGTTGACTTTGCATAAGTTCAACATTACCATAAGTTTTTGGTTGCCATATAATTCGTTCTGCTTGTCTGCAAATAACTGCAGCTGAAGCTATGCAGTGTTCAGCCATACGTACTGCATCAAAGGAAGGTGAAATTTTTTTTAATGGAGAATCATAATGAATTTCCAAAGAAAGAACATCTGCCCCATCTAAAACAAGATTTGCTATATCTGTTACACAGAGGGTAGGAATTTGTTCATTTATCACAGCTTTACATATACATGGTTTTCCATACATGTTACATTTCGCTAAAATTACTTTTTGTGCTATAAATATTTTTTCCACTGGTAAATCAGTACTTAGAACACATCTATCAATATAAATTCCATCTGCCTCTAGTAATAGTTGGTCAATATTGTCAAGTCCCAGCACTGAATCTATACATGCAAAGACGAGAATGTGCTTGCCCTTTTCAGATAGAATGTGTCTTACATTACGAATGTCTTGTGAATTTTGTGCGTTTGGTACTAAAACCCCATCAATATCAGAACCCACTGCCCAAGCTATTTGATCTTCCATGTATTCAAAGGGCTGTTGTGATGAGTCACATGAAATAGAATCAAAACTTTCACGCCCTATTTTATTAGTAGTCTCGACCTCACGTGGAACTTTTGATATACGTATTGGCATTTTAGCTCCAATTATACCTCCGCTTATAACCATACATTCAATAGAGTCATCTCCAACTTCAGAAACTGATAGCTTAATTTTTCCTGATGTTAAACTATCAATATAAATAAGGTCGTCAGGCTGTAAGTCTGTCAAATGGTCATATCCAACAAAAAGACAACTATTTGTTCCACATTGTCGCCAGCTCGCATCAGTAGTTAATCTAATCATTTCATTCTGAACAAGTTCAACCATTGTGCGATGACCACCTTTAAGGTCGCCAGTTACAATATCAGGACCTCTGACATCAACTAATAAAGCCAAAGGGTAAACATATTCCAATTCTGCACTATAATTGAATACAGCTTGTCTTATACTTTGAATTAATTGAGCACATGCGTCAGGTTCTAAATCTCGTAAATTTAAAAGGGCAACTGTCATTCCGGAAGCAATAAGTTTTTGTATTACAGTAGGTTCTCTGTTATTCATACCTATTTCACACATTAAACCAGTTTGGATTTCTTCACAAGGATTTCGATGAATATTTAATTTGCAATAATGCTTTAATAGTGATGATTCAACTTGGCGCTCTTTTTCTTTTAGACTAGGAATTGCTTCAATTGGAAGATGCCAAGGTAAAGACATTGTGTCATATAAATAACAATATTTATTTTTTGTAAAAGATTTTTCTAAAATAATCAGATATCTTGTCTGTAAATGTCTTATTTTTATCCAAATTGTCATTTGAGGGTCAATTATTTTTTAAATAAAAGAGGATATAGTCCACAATCAATAAATCGTGAAAAGCAAAAAAAAAAATTGTTTTAGGTATATTTATAAGATGAATTTCTTCCCGAGGTTCTATTCATGTAGTTTTTTTTTAAGTATTGTAATTGTTCTGCTAAACATTAACTTACTGAACTTACTTGAATTACTTCACGTAAATTCTGATGCTCCATTATTATATATGTACGCCAGACAACTATTATAAAACCTTTTACAAGAAGGCAGACCGACCGATCTAAGGGGCCAATCATCCCCTAAACTCAATTTTAATGCCTCTGTGGGTAGGAAAATTGAGTTAAGGGGGTGATTGGCCCCTTGCATTGGTTGTATCTTAAAAAAAACTTTCAAACCAATCGAGTGGGGTATCAATATATACAACTTATATGTTTAAATGTATTTTAGGATAAAAAAATGCTAAATAAAATTTCAAATGTTTAGACTGGCAAAAACTAAAAAGCTGTAATTAAAAAGAAATATATTATAAAAATAAAAAATCCGACTATACATGTCGCGGCAAGGATGAAACGTGTACTATGGTTCCAACTGCATAATACTGTATACTTTCATCAACTTGTTTCTTGTTTTTTAGGCAGCTTTTATGCAGTCGGGGTTTTTATTTTTATAATATTTTTTTTTATTTTAACATATTAATTTGTAAAGTATATTAAAAATAAAATATTTATCTAAATATATATCAGGTTACATAATGTTTACGACTTTTTTTTATCTTGAACATATTTATGTGGACCTTAAAATTTCGATGTTACCCATAAATTCATATAATGTTTAATTTAGTGGTAAGCAAAATTCAAAGCAATCCACGTTTCTAATTTCTATATAAATATATTCTAGTACGAGTATTCGATTTCTTTGAGTGAAGATAACACGCCGCGGATTGTGAAAAATTAAAAAAATTATGAACGAGGTTGCTTGACTGCGTGTCACGTTTGTTCTTTGGCAGAATAATAAAACGCGTTAGTTTATTTTGTCAAACTCATAGGTGGATTGTTATTGTCAAAGTGATCATTGTACATAAAGTGTTTAGTGAAAAGCTTGTGAAAAAGTGGTCTCGGTGTTTGGTACTAAATAACTTTTTTGTACCTGCCGTTTGTACTGTGCGACCGTGAAGGTTGAGAATGTTACGTCATTTTAGCATTGGTGTCTAATACGAACTTATTTATTTTCGTTTTGAACTGTGTGAATGTGAGTTTTTAAAGGAGATCAGTTAATATTATCAGAAGTTTCTGTAAGTGTTTAATGTTTACTATATTGTAAAGCCCTTTTAGACCGGCTGCAAGAAGATGCCGCCATGTTATTTAGTTTTGCTGTCAACTACTGATCGCGGTTAGCACTTAGCCCTGATAAACTATGATATCTTTGTTCTATAAAATGTAACACTCGTAGAGTAATATCAACTCCTATTTGCTATTATCAGCTGTTCTCTACAAGTACAGTGATTGTTTAACATGTTCTAGCTTGGTTTTGTTTACTGTGTTTTATTGACTGTCAATGTAATGACGTCATTGTGCGACTCGTTCACTAGTCACTACCAACTAATTAAATGTGTAGGGGCTACCTTTAAGTAAGTAAAGGGAAAATTATATGAATTAATCAGCTTATGTGTTCTAAGAATCGTATTCTAACTAGGATAAAATCCCCATTACTCCTTTAGTATTTCACTTATATTTTAAACTACAAATACCAGACATACAGTATCTTTGATCTACTCAATCAATTCAAATGAAACTTATGTTTCACAGTGCTCTGTAAATATAAAATTTTCCTGTTCATTTTCAAATAGAAATGAAAATAAAAATTATTTTAATATACCTATTCAAAATCAAAATATATAATGTATACACTTCTGCTTAAATATGTTAAGTAGATATGATGCTCTGCAGTAAAACATAAATAATGACATTCCAATATAAAATTTTAGCTTAGGAGTCTTGCTGGATTATGTTATATATACAAAACAACAATTTGTTAAAAATTAAAAGCTTATTATCAAATTGAATAGCAGTAATTTTGAAAGTTCTCATAATTTATAACACTGTACTCACTAAAGTAATTAATTTTGAAAGTACTCACCCTCATTTTATATCTGACTAGCGACACCCTTGCTTTACTCAGGTTCGTCCTTAGGTATGTTTTAACAGTTAGTATATAATAGATAAACTATATATTATATATACCCTATAGCCTTCCTCAATAAATAGGCTATCTAATGCAAAAATTTTTTAAAACGGTTAAGTAGTTCCTGAGATTAGTGTGTTGAAAGAAACAAAAAAACTCTACTTGTTTATAATATTAGTATAGGCTAGCGACACATTCAGCCTTCAATTTCAACCTTCGCCACTGCTGTACAGTAAACTTTCTTGTTGTTGACATTTCTAAACTCTATTATTTACTAGTAATTCTGCAAATAGTATGCTATTGTGAGCACAAACTGCATTTTGAAGAGCTGTACTGCTCATCACACTGATGATCCCCATCTGATCTTCACCAAATTTTTATGAGACCAATTTAAAGTTACTACCTTTCAAATAAAAAAAGAACCATTCGACCAGCCAACAAAATCGGATCTATGAAAGTAGATATATCCAGTAGCCCCCTTTTTGCCCCTTTTTGGAGGACACCCTTCAATAAAAAATCCATGAAGACTAAAAAATTCTATAAAGTCGTAAAACCTGTATACCAAGTTTCGTCCAGATCAGTTGTAAAAAACAATCTGTAGAGGAGTACCAAAAACAACTGACAGAGGAAAGCAAATTTTGCCAGACTTGAAGCAAGTCTATAATATATCTTGATAATTTAGGCTTGAACTGAAATAATATCTTGAATTTCAATAAAAGCTACTAAGTAAAAGTTGAATTCAGACATTTGATGACACTTTGTATCTACAGAAAAATATTTACCTGTGATGGCATTATAAAGTTTTAAATGCAATAATAATTTACATTTAATATATTTATTTGATAATAGTCTAGTAAAGGTGAAATCAAATATGTATTTTCATTTCCTAGATATCAATTATTGTAACTTTTCAAAATTAAAGTTTTACTAAGGTTTTTAGTATCCAACTTAAAATGGTCTTCTTTAAAATTACTTAATGGGTCAAAGTGATCTATTCTATAAATCTTTATAGATAGATTGTATAGATGTATCGATCTATTTCAACTAAATATAAAATTTGAAAGTTAGATAGCCCTTATTTTTTATTTTTTAGATAGTTAATCTATACATCTGAATACAATATATTATCATCTTTTTTGTGTGATTTTAAAATATTTTTGATTTGGCCACTTGAATTTAATATTGCAATTGAATTTATTTAGCTTCAGAGCTGACATGACCCTGTTTTGTTTTCTAGTAAGATGGGTTGTACCTACTAACTGCCTTGGTAGTCTAGTAATTAACATGACGTCGCAGATCAAGACGTCCTGGGGTTTGAGTAACATGTTGGGCCAAATGAAGTAAAATTTAGTATTGAGTCTTTATGTTAACGAATTCTCAGTGGCAGCGACCAAGGGGTTGGTCCCACGGTCTACTCTGCTCATGGAAGTACCAGGAGCAACCCGCACGGTACACCGTCCACCAAATTAGCCGCCTACTAATTTCTTGACTACACATTCAACTGGATTGCCGGAAAATAGGGGTCATAATCTCATAGGACAAGTCCTGTGGACAACCCCTAGATACTAAGAAATTAGGCTGTAGTTGATTTTGTTTGATGAATGTTGTTTTGTCGAAGGCTCCTTTAATATCCATAAAATATTAAACACATAATAAATCTTGTACACAGAGATTTCGATTGTTTTTCGAAACGTAACGTAAGCGTGCTTCTGTTTACTAGAGACGAAGCAGAGCAAAGCGAGGGTGCACCACTAGTACCTCATAGTTATATAATTATATATTAATCGTACTTTTGTTTGGCTGATTTAGCATGAGGTATAAATTGTAAGACAACAATATTTTTTTATTAAAATTAAATTTATGATAAAAGAAGCAAGATAAAAAAACCTTTATGATTATAAAAAGTCTGCTTTATCCGTACCTATTAGGTGATTACCACTAGAAAAAATTTCATGCATTCAGTTTTGACCATGAACAATTATCATAGTCTGGAGGACATTTTTGACATACATATAATGAAATCTTTTAATCTCACTTAACCCTCGATGTTCAAAAATGAATAATATTATAAAAATGTTTCTCTTTCTGTCTCTTATAATTATGTATGGACTTAGTAGACTTGTTCAATCAGATTAATTAGTAGCTATATTTGATGAAAATTTGACAGAATATTTAATTTCAAATGTGTATATAATATAATAATTTGTTTTTAGCAAGTTATTAAAATTGCCGGGTAGCATTATTATGTATGCTTTGAATACTGAATTAAAGAAGTGCGCAACTTCAAGTAATGGATATAGTTTATTGTGAAGATAATTTTATTATTATTTTTGTTTTATAGTGTTACTAGCTTTGTCGCGTTCAGATGACCATAAATCAAATTCTTAGGTTTTTCATATTAGTATACTCTTACATTGCAGTTTTTGTATATTATATCAAAAATTAGTTCGGTTAGTTAATCGGCTTAGTTACAATTTTATTATATGTTTATGTATAGATTAAGATTAAGATCTCCTGTC